GGAGCTAGGTGTGAATGTTTCAACTGACCACCTTGATTAGCATTTGATAGCCTGGCAGTGCTTGGAGCAATATTTTGTTGAGAGGTGATTAGCTGTCCCTGATTGTTTTCCCTCTGCTGTTTTGTTGTTTTAATTTTAGAGTTGAAGATTAACAAAATCTGACTACCAGTGACACTATTTCCTGTGCTGGTCAATGACCGAAATAAATATTTTGAATTTGAATTTGGACTACCAGTATTAAAAAAACTCTAAAATTAAAACAGCGAAAGGTGGAGAAGGAAGGAAGGAAGAGAAAGTGGAAGGAAAAGCAAACGGGGAAGGAAAGAAAGAGATAGAGAAGGAAGGAAGGAGAGAAAGTGGAAGGGAAAGAAAAGGGGGAAGGAAAAACGAGGTAGAAAAGGAAGAAAGGGGAGAAAGAAGGAAAGGGAGAGAGAAGGAAGGAGGGAAAGAAAAGAGAAAGCGGGAGAGAAGGAAAGAAAGAGAAGGAAGGATGAAAGCAAAACGCGAAGGAAGGAAGGAAAGAGGTAGAGAAGGAAGAAAGGAGAGAAAGTGGAAGGAAAAGAAAAGGGGGAAGGAAAGAAATGTAGAGAAGGAAGGAAGGAGAGAAAGTAGAAGGAAAAGAAAAGGGGGAAGGAAAGAAAGAGGTGGGGAAGGAAGAAAGGAGAGAAAGTGGAAGGAAAAGAAAAGGGGGAAGGAAGGAAGGAAGGAAGGAGAGAAGAAAGGAAAAGAAGGAAGGAAGGAGGGAGGGAGCAAAGGAAGGAGGGAAAGAGGGAGGGAAGATTGGCCACAGTAAAGCGTAGCGGGTACAGCTAGTTTAAAATAAACAATAAGCCAATGATACTTGTTTCTTTGTAGAAGAGTAGCTGAAATGTGTTGTTCATAAAAATATCAGCCAATGTTACAATATAGCCACCCATGTACTCTGTCAGATGTAGAGAATGTTGATCTCCATCAATATTTTATGTGAGTTGCTGTGAGTTTTCCGGGCTATATGGACATGGTCCAGAAGCATTCTCTTCTGACATTTCACCCACAGGTTAAACCCCTGAGCCAGCAGGACTGAAGACCGACAGGTCACAGGTTCGAATCCGGGGAAAGGCGGATGAGCTCCCTCTATCAGCTCCAGCTCCTCATGCGGGGACATGAGAGAAGCCTCCCACAAGGATGATAAAAACATCAATTCATCCGGGCGTCCCCTGGGCAACGTCCTTGCAGACGGCCAATTCTCTCACACCAGAAGCAAATTGCAGTTTCTCAAGTCGCTCCTGACACGACAAAAACAACAACCCACATCTATGGGAGGAATCCTCAGAGGTTGTGATGTCTGCTGGAAAATGTTGTTGTTGTTCATTCATTCAGTCGTTTCCAACTCTTCGTGACTTCATGGACCAGTCCACGCCAGAACTCCCTGTCGTTCGTCACCACCCCCAGCTCCTTCAAGGTCAATCCAGTCACTTCAAGGATCCCATCCATCCATCTTGTCCTTGGTCAGCCCCTCTTCCTTTTTTCTTCCATTTTCCCCAGCATAATTATCTTCTCTAAGCTTTCCTTTCTTCTCATGATGTGGCCAAAGTACTTCATCTTGGCCTCTATTCTTCCCTCCAATGAGCAGTCAGACTTTATTTCTTGAAGTATGGACTGGTTGGATCTGGAAAATAGGCAAGTGATTTTAGAGTTTTTTAAATAATGGTAGTGAGTTTTTGTTCATTTCCATGGTTTCCTCCATTGTGTTGAAATTGTCCACATGCTTCTTGTAGATTTATTTATTTACTGTATTAGTATACCGGTGACTCAAGGCAGTTAACAGGGTAAAACTCAATGTTTACAACATCATAACATAACATAATAAAAATTAAACATATCAATAAAATATAACTTCATAGTGTCGCCTTGTTACAAATGATGTCCAGTCTCATTGTCATCATTCCATTTTCCTATGTCAGTTACTCTGCATTTGGAAACAGTTGTTCAAAAATGCCAGACAGGAAACAATCAGGACCAGCTAACACCTCCCAACAAAGAATTCCCCCAGGCAGGAAGCAGCCAAGTTTTGAAGCTGCAAGGCTGTTCAGTGCTAATCAAGATGGCCAATTGAAACATTCACATTTGCCTCAAACAGGCAAGAGTTCTTTCTCCCACCCTGGACATTCCACAGATATATAAACCTCACTTGCCTAGTTTCCAACAGACCTCACAGCCTCTGAGGATGCCTGCCATAGATGTGGGCGAAAGATCAGGAGAGAATGATACTGGAACATGGGCATGCAGCCCAGAAAACTCACAGCAACCCCCTTTTTATTTAGTTTTTAATTACTGTTATTTCAATATCCATACCAAGTCTATACAGAGTCTCTGGTAGTAGGAGATATCATTTATAGTACTAGGCCTGTTTTTAATAGTAACTCTCAAGCAACCAGAAACTAATATGTATGTATGTATGTATGTATGTATGTATAGTTGTAACTTAGTTGCAGCGCAGAAGGATAGTTGTGTAGTTTGGGTAGTTTTTTGTGTATCTAAAATGCCTGTTTCTGTATTTTATTTTGTATTTTTCTTGGGTGTTATTTTTTAAAAGGCAAAGTTAAAGCTTTGGTACATTAACATCATGCTTTTAGAAGACTGGTGTAATAGAAAATAACCTCTGTGATTTTGTGTAGTCATGTAATACATCATTTAATATAAGCAAGAAAGCAAATGATACTTGTTTCTTTGTAGAAGAGTAATTGAAGCGTATAGTCCGTAAAGTATCAACTAATGTTACAATATAGCTGCTCTTCCATTTGCTGTGCCAGATGTAGAGAATGTTGATGTCTTCATCAATATTGTATGTGTCACATGACCTTTTTGTTACATTGAATATCGCTGCTTATTTATTTTGAAAGGTTTACAACAGCACAGCTCAAGCAAAGTCATTGAGTTGTTTGTGTAAGGGTTGAAAAGATGCTCTTGAGAAGATATTTCAATTTCTGGTGAAATAATAACCAGAAATAACCAGAACTAGTGTCTAGCACTTAACTCTTTGGGGCCCAACACATATTTTAGCTTAGATTGATATAGAGCACGAATGGGCAAACTTCGGCCCTCCAGGTATTTTGGACTCCCACAACTTGTAACAGCCAAGTAGGCTGTTAGGAATTGTGGGAATTGAAGTCCAAAACATCTGGAGGGCCAAAGTTTGCCCATTCCTGATATAGAGTTTTAAAAGACCTTTTTGCTTTTGGATCAAGCTATCTTCATCTTCTAGTACAATGTTGATTTATATCACCCTGTTTTGGACAAAAGTACAAAAGGAAAAAGATGTGCTAAGGTATGGGTTAACACATCGATAGTCAATATGAGAGTGCTTTCAAGTGTATGTCTCTTGCAACCAATTTGGCTAATCCCATCTCTTATAAACCAACCTGGGCACTGTGGTCAACAGAGGAGGCCCTCCTCTCGGTTCCAACTACCTCTGAAACACAGCTGGTGGGAACGAGAGAAGGGGCCTTCTCCACGGTTGCCCCACACCTCTGGAACTCCCTCTAAAAAATAGAGGGAGTTCCAGAGGTTCCTTCAAAAAACTAATGAAAAGTTATTTTTGCGCATTAACATATGGAGAGGAAGAGGATTAGATGCTGAAAGACCACTGCTGGCCATCTAACTGAAAACTGTTATTGTATTTGGGCTTTGTTGGATCATGTTGGCCCAGTTAACATCACTGGCTGCTCAGTCAACTTACATATCTTGATGAAACTTCATTGGCTTCTGTAAATTAATGCAGATATTTTGTTTAGATTTTATGTTAGATATAAATTTCGATAGGTTGTGTTTTGTTTAATCTGTAGATGTCATGTTATAAATTGTTTTCATAGGTGGTGTTATTATAGGTAATTATGTTTGTATTTGTTGCTGTGCTGAGGCATTGAATGTTTGCCTTTTTTGTTTGTTGGAATCCGCCCTAAGTCCCCTCAGGGAGATAGGGCGGAATATAAATAAAGATGATAATGACTATGATGATGATGATAACTATACTGTCACAAAACTGAGCATTTAAAATTAAATTGCAATCTCTGTATTTCACAGGAAATGGAAACAAGCCCTGAAACTGATGGGCTTCAACTTCAGATCCCGTCAGAAACTAGAAGACGGGGTTCTGTTTTCTTGGATATGTAAGAACTGCAAAATAATTCAAAGTAAAGGGAAAGGTTTTGATCTAGCAGTCTCCTAGCAATATACTAGTGTGTGTGTGTGTATAACATTTTTGGTTGTTTTGGTTTTTCAAAGTAAGCAAGCATTCCAAAAGCAGACTTCATTTAGTGGTATCATAGTTTTATTGCCTTATTCCCACAATTATGCTGCTTGGACCTCCGTGTAGAGTAATATGTAAGATAAGGGAGGTATCGTGGTACAGGCAGTCCCCAAGTTACAAACAACATAGGTTCTGTAGGTTTGTTCTTAAGTTGAATTTCTATGTATAATAGAAGAAGTACATTATAGGAGTCATGGTGGCACAGTGGGTTAAACCCTTGGGCAGCTGAACTGCTGGCTGGAAGGTCAGCAGTTCGAATCTGTGAGATGGAATGAGATCCCATCTGTCAGCTCCAGCTCCTGCCAACCTAGCAGTTCGAAAACATGCAAATGTGAGTAGATAAATAGATGCTTCTTTGGCAGGAAAAGGCAAGGAGACACTCCCAGCAATCTTGCCAACCACACAACCAGGAGCTGGCAATGTAGGCTCCTCGGCTTGAAAATGGAGAAACTCCAGAAGCTAGAAATGAAAGGAGAAGCCTCTGCCTTTGTTTGTGTTTGTGTAAAGGCATTGAATGTTTGCCTGTGTATGTAAATGCTGTAATCTGCTCTGAGCCCCCAAGGGGGAGAAGGGCAGTATATAAAGTGCATTATTATTATTATTATTATTATTATTATTATTATTATTAAAGTATAACACTAGCTGTATGTATATTTAAGCTTTAGATAACAAAGGGGAGGTTTAACATCCCTGTTTGCTTTCTGTGCCCCTCTTCAGAAGATTTTACTTCACTGTCTGACCCTGTGATAATTAGATTTTGAAAAATTGGGCTTTTTGTGGAAAGGATTGGAGATAAAGCTTTGGTTGAGACCCCCTTTCCCCATGATCACACTTTAAGGAGTGAATTTCCCTTCCTAGAGGTAGATTTCTTTCACTTCCTATTATCTCACCTCCATTCTTAACTATGAGTCGTTTGTAAGTTGGATGTTTGTAACTCAGTGACTGCCTGTATAAATATAGAATATTTATTTCAAGTATCCACAATGAAGGAAAATATGGATGAGAAGGAATTCCTTCAGGCAATCCAGACCATTTAGGATTTAAAAGGCTGAAACTCAGCATAGCTTTCAGGTTAGCATCTGAGCATTTCCAACATATTTTTCTTTTGTTCTCTTCAGTATCTGTACTCCTTTTTCTAAGACACGTAATTTCTGCAAGACTTACCGTGAGGTGTTGAAGAACATTTTCTTGGTTATCCTTGGTGCAGGTAAAATTCTATCAGTGATATTTTCTGGAAAGCATTATAAATTAACCGTCTAGAGGCAGATTACTGATTGTGTGGGGTCGATCTGTGTTTACATACCACCAAATACACAAGTTCCATTGAATATGTAATGTACACTCTTGCGCTGTTGGTCACAAGCTCTTTAGTAGCAAAATTTGTACCATTAATCTTGGTACAAATGTAGTATCCATGATGTTATACAACTACAACTCCTGTAGAATTATGGTGACCCCATGATTTTTAAGGGTTTTTTAAAACAAGGAATCCTATTTTGGTGAGGCATTAAATTTTGCTGTGAATATGTTGGAAACTGGTTTGAGTCCCCCCTGGGGTGAGAATAGCAGTACATAAATGAAGTAAGTAAGTAAATCTTCAGAGGTAGTTTTGCTAGTCCCTTCCTCTCAAATACAGTTTATGATATCCTGGTATTGGTTAGTGGTGCTCCACTGTAGTACTAATCAGGGCTAACCCGACTTAACTTCTAAGATTAGCCATGAAAACTTGGTGCCTTTAGAGTACAGCAGAATCTTGCTTATCCAACATAAATGGGCCAGCAGAACATTGGATAAGCAAAAGTGTTGGATAATAAGGAGGGATTGAAGAAAAGTCTATTAAACATCAAATTACATTATGATTTTATTAATTAAGCAACAAAACATCATGTTTTACAACAGATCGACAGAAAAGGCGGTCCAGTACACTGTAACATTATGTAGTAATGACTGTATTTACAAATTTAGCACCAAAACATCGCAAAATATTGAAATAGCTGTGGATCCAGGCGGGAGGCAGACTGTGTTGGATAATACAGAACGTTGGATGAGCGAAGGTTGGATAAGCAAGACTCTATTGTATTTAGAATTGTTTCCAGACATGGGCAAACTTTGGCCTTCCTGGTGTTTTGGACTTCAACTCCCACAATTCCTAACAGCCTACTCAGGCAGAACTGATTCCTTAAAAAGTATTATTTCTTCCTGTAGTCCCAAATTAATATTTTCATATCATGTTCACAGTATGCTAATTTTAAACTTTATCCCCTAGGTCCACATTTTGCAAGTAGGTAGGAAGGGCAGTAAATGTAGTTGGAGAATTTTGAATATTGCTAAAGCCCACCTCACTGTAAAGGGCTGGTGAAAGCATGGTATCTGGGTAATACCATAAAGAAGGAAAACCAGCTGTATACTGTACACAAATGACTGTTCATAACTGTTGTTTCTCCTTTCTCTAGCATACCTAGCTTACCTCATTGCATCATGCTGGCTGAACTTTCAGCGAGCCTTAGCTTTGGTTATATTTACTTGTGCTGCGGTTGTGGTGATGGTTTTTACCCTGGTAAAGAATTGGTGGGGCGCCAAGATTGTCCTGTTACTGAGTCCTGTTACAAAGCCCCTTCAGAATGCTTGGCCATGGTTGAAATGGTGAGTTGGGGATGAGAATTTTATAACAGTGTGCCATACACAGAGTTTTCATACAGACAATAATATTAAGGGTCCTCTTAACATATTCTATCTCACAGATGTGCAGGTAGACTCCCAGGTTGGATTTAACATGCATAGCAAATTGAAGTGGATACATTCCATCATTTCTTCTTTTTTTAAAATAATTTTTATTGAGGGTTTTCTGAGGGGTACATTGAGAGAATGTTAATCATTGACATATCTTTAATTAAAAGAAATATAGTAAGGGGCGATGGGGATGAGTAAGGGGGAGGGGGAGGGGAAGAAAGTGTGGGTAGTATGAGGGGGGGTGAACGGGGAGTAGGGAGGGAGGAAAGGGGGAGGATTAGTAAAATATTGTTTGTGACCCGTAGTGCATGTTAGTACTGGTTTTGATACCGTTTCCTTCGCAAGCTTCTTCTCCAATTATGTTTAATAAATGTTAAAGTAATTTTTGACTGGGGACCAGTCAGTTTTGCCTTTCGTTGTTTGTATGTTTTTCAGGTGTTCTGTTAAGCAGTTCATGTTCATAATATCTAATATTTATATGTCCATTCTTCAATCGTTGGTGTCTCTTTATTCTTCCATTTTTTGCCACCACTATCCTTGCTGCTGTCATCATATAGAATAGGAGTTTGTCCTTATTTTCCTCTAGTTTGAAATCGAAGATGCCCAGAAGGGAGTATTCCGCCTTCATCTCTATTTTTGCACTCAAGATTTTATTTGTTGTGTCGTAGATCTCCTTCCAGAATCTTTTCATTTTTTCGCCGGTCCACCAGCAGTGGAAGAAGGTCCCCTTTTTTTTCTGGCACTTCCAGCACTTCCCCGATACGTTTTTATACCATTTTGTTAATTTGCTGGGGGTAACGTACCACCGGTACATCATTTTGAGCCAGTTTTCCCGCAGGTCATAGGAGTTTGTCCATTTTAGCTTTGTATTCCAGCTCTCTTCCCAATCTCTTGTTCTTTTCGTGTGCCCTATATTTCTTGTCCATTTCGTCAGGCACTCTTTATTTTGGTGTTTCTCCATCTTCCATTCCAATAAGATGTTGTATATTTTAATAATCCCCTTTCTTTCTGATCGCATGATCTTGTCCCAGTATTTTTCTCTTGGCTCGAAGCCCACTTTCTTGTCTTTATTGAAAGCTTCCGTCAGTTGTCTGTGTTGGAACCATGTGATCTCTCCGTAAGTTAATCTTATTTCTTCCATTGTCTTTATGCTGAATTCTTCTCTATTTTTCGTTAGTATATCCTTGTATCAGGGCCAATTCTCCCATCCCAGTTCCCTTCTTTGGAGTGCTTCAAGTGGAGATACCCAAAGGGTTTTTTTAAAATAGAATTTAGCTTTGTGTTTTTCCCAAATTTTGATCAGTGAGGACCGAATAAAATGATTGTCATTTTTTTTCTATTTTTCTTTTGGAGTACCACATGTAAGCGTGCCAGCTGCTGCGCAGGTCGTGGCCTTCTAATGCTAGGTCTTTTATCTTGTTGATATTGGCCCATTCTTTTGTCCATAGTAGTCCACAAGCGTCGTGGTGGAGTTGTAGGTCTAGAAGCCCAAATCCGCTTTTTTCTTTCTTGTCTGTTAAATGTTCATATTTAACTCTGGGTTTCTTCCCAGCCCAGATAAACTTTTTAACTTCTGTGTTCCATCCATACATTCCATCATTTCACAGATGAAAACTAGGAATCAGGTAGCCAAGCAACTTCAAAGTGTGGCCAAGATGACAAAAGTTCTTAAAAAGGAAAGAAAAAAACCCACTAACTTGAAGATGTAGCAATTAACTTTTTCCTCAATCTATTCAACAAGGCAAGATTCCATCCCCTTCTCTCCTTACTGCTGAGATAATGAGTGAAAATTGAACTGAAATAATCTTGAGGACCAAGGAGAAAAGCGGGAGGAGAGAGAAATTGGGGCATATTAAAAGCAGTTGAAAAGGTGGGATAATAGGATTATATTATATAAGGAGATTCCATCTGAACATTACAAAGACCTTCCTGACTGTGAGAGCCATTCAGCAGTGGAACTCTCTGCCCCGGAGTGTGGTGAAGGCTCCTTCTTTGGAAGCATTTAAACAGAGGCTGGATGGCCATCTGTCAGGGGTGATTTGAATGCAATATTCCTGCTTCTTGGCAGGGGATTGGAATGGGCATAAACAAGTACAAGTGGTCCCAGTGGTCATCGGCACACTGGGTGTCATGCCAAAAGATCTCAGCCGGCATTTGGAAACAATGAACATTGACAAAATCACAATCTGTCAACTGCAAAAGGCCACCTTACTTGGATCTGCACGCATCATTCAAAAATACATCACACGGTCCTAGACGCTTGGAAGTGTTCGACTTGTGATTTTGTGATACGAAATCCAGCAGATAGATCTCATTTGCTGTGACATACTGTGGCTTTGTGTCATAATAATAATAATAATAATAATAATAATAATAATAACAACAACAACAACAACAACTTTATTTGTACCCCACTTCCATCTCCCTGAAGGGAATCAGGGCGCCTAACATGGGGCCAACCCCAAGCAATTACAATAAAGCAAAAATAAAATGCATACAAGACACACAACAACATCAAATAAAAATTCTTATACAATAACATAATAAGCCAATAAAGTAGTAACAATAACATAAAAAACAGAATATAGAAACAGTACAAGAATTTAAATGAGAGCGAGCTGGCCAAGTGTGACGAGTAAAAATTGTAAAACTTGTGGGTGAGGTACAAAAAGTGCTGTATTTAGTGAGAGACTAGGGTGGGATAAACAATCAGGTTATTCTCAACTGAGGGATGAGATAAAGTGCATCAGAAAAACAATTGACACTGAGACAGGACCTGACATGGGGATTATTATCTGTAGTTTTGCATTTTGAGAACACATTCCTCACAGAAATTGAGTCTTATGGTATACCATATTTCAGTGTTTGATCTCTTTACCAGGATTGTGCACAATATCTGGAGACAGAGTTTACCACAGATCTAGCACTATAGGGTGAGCATCTTTACCAGGATTGTGCACAATATCTGGGGACAGAGTTTACCACTACAGGGTGAGCATTTTACTCCCACTCTTCCTGAATTGAGTAGGAGCTCTACTGATGCCAGGCCTGCTTTGATACCTGCAGAGCTCCAATTCAATTTGGAACAGCTGTGGGAAGAATATTGATGAATCTGCCTCTGTATTGATTAGTCCACAGAGACATCATATAAATATTCACTGTGGACCACTTATGCAGCATGTATTGATTGTAAATGAGTCACCATTATTAAATTGCATTGCAATGTTTCCTTATGCATCTTCCGGAAAGACTATGGCTTTGAAAGTACATTCTCAAACATAGCTCATTTTCTTACAATTATTTCTTCTCAGGGTACTTTGCCTATCTGTTTTAATTGGTCTAATTACCTGGATGGTTTTTGAAGCGTCCCAAAGAAAAGAGCAGCTAGTCTCTTTGGGTGGCTACTGTGTGCTCATAGGGCTGCTTTTTGCCTGCTCCAAACACCATCGTCATGTAAGTGAAATCATTTTGGTGATTGGAAAGATCAGGGGGTGGGTTATTCTTTCCTCTAAAATATGGCCTGAAATTTGCCATTACTACCTACGAGTAATTTCCACAGATTTGTGGTATGCTGATACTAAAGCCAATCAGCCATTACCTATTGCAGTCTTTATGACCTGGATAACTGTACTTCAGGAGGTCATGTGTGTGTGTGTATATACACACACACTAGCTGAACCCGCCACACGTTGCTGTGGCCAACCTTCCCTCCCTCTTTCTCTCATTCCTTCCCCCTTTTTTTTCATTCTCTCCTTTCTTCCTTCTCTTCCCTTCCTTCCCCCCGTTCTTTCCCTTTTTCTTTCTCTCCTTTCTTCCTTCTCTACCTGTTCTTGGACTGCAACTCCCAGCAGTCCTCCTGATCAATCTATCTACATATCTATCTCTATCTAATTTATCTATCTGGAGAATTGCTGGGAGCTGCAGTCCAGGAATAGAAAATTGGAAATACACAGGGATTGGAATGCTCTCAAAGAAGTCCAAGGAGAAGAAAGCTTGCAGCTTGGAAGCAGTGCATTTGGGTCATCCTCCTCTCCTAAAGGGCCTGGTTTAGGGGATGCTAGAAAAATAGATACAGAGGATTTATGTTTTATTGATTTTATTGTTTATGAAATTTTATGGATGTTTATATGCTTTTAACTGTTTATATTATTGTGGCATCAAATTGTGCCGGTTTTGTAAACCGCCCTGAGTCACCCTGGGGCTGAGAAGGGCGGTATAGAAATATAGTAAATCTATATCTATCTATCTATGTCTATGTATATAATAAAGGTGAAAGTTTGTACAAAAGTGTGGTGGTGCGACAGGAGGAGTATGTGCCAGCGTTTTCATTGGACAGCCTGAAAGTTCCAACATTCTGATTGGCTGCCGCAGTGGTGCTATTTGCATATGGTCTCTGATTGGCCAGCTTCAATAGGAGCCCCTGGTGGAGAAAAGAGTTCATGGAAGAAACGGGGACATGAGAAGGAAATTTGCATATGGTCTCTGATTGGCCAGCCTCAATTCCAAGATTCCGAGATGACAAAGAGAGGAAAGGAAAGGGCCAGAGGGGGCTGAGTCAGAGAATTACCAATACAGACCACACTTGGCACACAGAGCCTGCAAGACCGACTTGACATCCTACTGCAACCATGGATGATGGGACTTGCAGTACCATCACTCACATTCTGAGACCGCTGTTAACCTCATCCAATGACTGATCAGGACCAAACTTGGCACATAGACCTCTCATGACCCAATTTACGTCCTGGTGTGGTTTGGCCAGGGATGGACCATGGATTATGGATCTAGACCAAACTTGGCACATAGACCTCTCATGACCCACTTTATGCCTTGGTGTGGTTTGGCCGGGGATGGACCATGGATTATGGGACTTGCAGTACCTTTGCTCAATTCTTGAGACCACTGCAACCCTCATCCAATTACCGATAAAGACCAAACTTGGCACACTGAGTCTCCATGATGCACTCTACATCCTGTTGTGGTTTGGAGGAGGATGCACTATGGACGATGGACTTGCAATACCTGCACTCCCTTCCTAAGACCATTACAACTGCCAACAATGATGGATCAGGACCACAATTTACACAGAGAGCCCGCATGACCCACTCTACATCCTGGTGCAGTTTAGAAACATTTGGACATGGATGATGGGACTTGAAGTCACTTCACTCACTTCCTGAGACCACTGAGACCCTTGCCAATGACTGATCCAGACCAAACTTGGCACACAGAGTCCCCATGACCCACTCTACATCCTGGTGCACTTTCGAGGAGGACAGACCATGGATGATGGGACTTCAAGTACCTCCACTCCCTTCCCAAGACTGCTGCAACCCTCATCTAATGTCCGATCAAGACCAAACTTGGCACACAGAGCCCCCATAACCCACTCTACATACCGATGCTGTTTGGAGGAGGGTTGACCATGGATGATGGGACTTGCAGTACCTTTACTCACTTACTGAAACCACTGCAACCCTGAACCAATGACTGATAAAGACCAAACTTGGCACACAGAGCCCCCATGACTCTCTCTATATCCTGCTGCTGTTTGGAGGAGGGTTGACCATGGACAATGCGACTTCAAGTACCTTCACTCACTTCCTGAAAACAATGCAACCGTCATCCAATGACCAATACAGACCAAACTTGGCATACAGAACCGCCATTACCCACTTTCTCTAATAACCCGGGCAACGCCGGGTCCCCAAGCTAGTATATAATAAAAGTCAAAACTTGTATGCGGCGGATGTGTGGCGGTGTATGTGCCGGCTTTCTGATTGGCCAGCCTGAAAGTTCCAAGATTCTGACTGGCTGCTGCTGTGGTGCTATTTGCATATGATCCCTGATTGGCCTGCTTCAACAGGAGCCCCTGGTGGAGAAAAGGGTTCATGACAGAAACAGGGACATGACAGAAGGAAATTTGCATATGGTCTCTGATTGGCCAGCCTCAATTCCAAGATTCCGAGACGACAAAGAGAGGAAAGGAAAGGTCAGAAAATTACCAATACAGACCACACTTGGCAAACAGAGCACACAAGACCCACTCTACATCCTACTGCAGTTTGGAGGAGGATGAACCATGGATGATGGGACTTGCAGTACCATCATTCACATTCTGAGACCGCTGTTAACCTCATCCAATGACTGATCAGGACCAAACTTGGCACATAGACCTCTCATGACCCACTTTACGTCCTGGTGTGGTTTGGCTGGGGATGGACCATGGATTATGGGACTTGCAGTACCTTTGCTCAATTCTTGAGACCACTGCAACCCTCATCCAATTAGCGATAAAGACCAAACTTGGCACACTGAGTCTCCATGACGCACTCTACATCCTGGTGCAGTTTGAAGGAGGATGCACCATGGACGATGGGACTTGCAATACCTGCACTCCCTTCCTAAGACCATTACAACTGCCAACGATGATGGATCAGGACCACAATTTACACAGAGACCCAGCATGACCCACTCTACATCCTGGTGCGGTTTGGAAGAATTTGACAATGGATGATGGGACTTGCAGTCACTTCACTCACTTCCTGAGACCACTGAGACCCTCGCCAATGACTGATCAAGACCAAACTTGGCACACAGAGTCCCCATGACCCACTCTACATCCTGGTGCACTTTCGAGGAGGACAGACCATGGATGATGGGACTTCAAGTACCTCCACTCCCTTCCCAAGATTGCTGCAACCCTCATTAATGACCAATCTAGACCAAACGGCACACATTATACAGAGCCCCCATGACCCACTCTACATCCTTCACTCACTTAGTGAAACTACTGAGACCCTCATCCAATGACTGATGAAGACCGAACTTGGCACACAGAACCCCCATGGACAACTCAACATTCTGGTGAGGCTTGGGGGAGAACAGACTATGGATGATTGGACTTCAAGTACCTCCACTCCCTTCCGAAGATTGCTATAACCCTCTTCTAATGACCAATCAAGACCAAACTTGGCATACAGAACCACCATTACCCACTTTCTCTAATAACCCAGGCAGCGCCGGGTCCCCAAGCTAGTAAATAAATAAATGCTGGGAGCTGTAGTCCAGAAGAGAGTGTGGCTATGGTTTTGTGTGTTTTGTTTGCCGGGAGAGTCATTTTTGCGCATGCGCTGTAGTGTTTTTTGCTCTCTCTTTTTTTTCTTTTTTGGCATTTTAAGCCCTGCTGTGTTTTTCAGTGTTTTCAGTGTTTTTATGAGTAATGGTCACTTGTTGGCCTGATAGGTGTCTTGTGTCCAAATTTGGTGTCAATTCATCTAGTGGTTTTTGAGTTATGTTAATCCCACAAACGATCATTACATTTTTATTTATTTAGATATATATTGTGGCTTGCAGGTGTCCTGGAGAACTGTGTTTTGGGGGCTTGCTCTGCAGTTTCTCCTTGGCGTCTTGATCATCCGGACAGAACCTGGATTTCAAACTTTCCAGATTATTGGTGCTCAAGTCCAGGTATGGAACATCATTGCCATCTGCCAGATATCTCATTTTTAGGATCATCAGAAGCCCAGAGGACCAATTTGAGGTTAAGAATTATTTTAGGTCTGGGCAAATTAAGCTGAGGATTAATGGAATTGAAAACATGGATGAGGTGCCATGTTTTTTTATTGAGTCATGATTCTAATAAATAAATAAATACTAAAGTTTGTTTCCCCCCATGAAATGCGAATTAAAAACCCAGCTATAATTTGAGCTCTAAGAACCCGAGCATAAAGCAATGGCCTACAAAATTTGATTTAAAATGTTTTTAAAGAAATCTGATTGTTTTTCCATTCTCTTTCCTGTACCTCAGTGGTTCTCAAGCTTCCTAATGCTGCAACCTCTTAATACAGTTCCTCATGTTGTGGTGACCCCCAACCATAAAATTATTTTCGTTGCTACTTCATAACTGTAATTTTGCTACTTTCCCATCGTGGTCAACTGTGAATTGCACATATAATACTAGTGGGGATGGGGGAGGTTGATTTTGTCTTTTGGGAGTTGTAGTTGCTGAGATGTATAGTTCACCTACAATCAAAGAGCATGCTGAACTCCAACAATGAAATTGAACCAAACTTGGCACACAGAACTCCCATGACCAAGAGAAAATACTGGAAGGATTTGGTGGGCATTGACCTTGAGTTTTGGAGTTATAGTTCACCTACATCCAGAGAGCACTGTGAGTTCAAACAATAATGGATCTGGACCAAACTTGGCACAAATTCTTAATATGCCCAAATGTGAACACTGGTGTACTTTGGGGAAAATAGACCTTGACATTTGGGAGTTGTAGTTGCTGGGATTTATAGTTCACCTACACTCAGAGAGTATTCTGAACCCCAGCAATGATAGATTTGGGCCAAACTTCCCACACAGAATCCCCATGGCCAACAGAAAATATTGTGTTTTCTGTTTGTCTTTGGTGACCCTTCTGACATCCCCTTGTGACCCCTCCCCCAGGTTGAGAAACACTGCTCTAGCTTATGTGTGTTCTCAAACGTATTCACACTACTTCTCAAACAAAAACAGATTTAGATAGAGAAATATGAGAAAGAATACAAGTGTACAATTGCCTTCATAATAATGTGAGAAACATAATAATTTTAGTGCTCCAGTGTAGCATGTGTCTTTGACTACTTAAATTTCTCTGTCCACTAGGTTATTTGTTATAAAATGTGTACATTTTCGCTAATATACGTGGAATGAACGATGTGTGTATATTTTCAAGCCATACGTTGATCTATAGCAACCCATTTTTCTTAGGCAAGAAATCCTCAGAGGGAGTTTTGCCAGTTCTGTGCTCTGAAATACAGCCTACGTTCTAACTTGGGTTTTTCCTGCTTAGCTTCCAAGATCAGCCAGGATCTGGTGTCTTTAGAATATTTAAGCTACAGCTCTGAGTTTTTTCCAGGATCTTGTTTAATGTAAAAAGGCTAATTCCCATCCAACCTCCTTCTTTCTACTGTTTTTTTTTCCATTACAGACATTCCTGGACTTTACCATAGCTGGCTCCAGTTTCGTCTTTGGGGACAAACTGATCAAAGAATCCTTTGCTTTTCTGGTCAGTTTAAGATTTTTGACAGAATCTTTTCTCTGACTCCATCTTAGTCACTTTCTCAACACAGCATGATAGGGATGGGATAAGATTTATCTGAACTGCAGTGTGTTCAAGAAATTTGTGTTGGATCAATCCCAAATGGAACAGGACGAGCTAAGTTATGGATACTTGGCCATTGCATTTCCCATAGAGGCCTGGTAATAGAAAGCATATTCAGACATTGCAAGTCGGTGTTTGGTTCCTGTTGCCAAGTATTTATTTCTTTAACAACCTAACCTGCTGTGACATTTTGTTTCACAGTGAACTGCAGTATGAATGTCATTGTACTACCATATTTGAGTGACTTTTGCTGGTCAATGAAATGTGTTGTACTGTTCTTTCTCCAGGCTCTGCCCATCATTGTCTTCTTCAGTTCTGTGATATCTGTCCTCTACTACCTGGGAATTATACAGTGGGTAATTACCAAGGTAATGATGGTCACAAAGCTGTAAATAACTGCTAAAACATTTTATTGTTTGGAGTAGAAAGGAGCTTCTTTACTGGGTGTGACGATAAATATCAAATAGGAGACAGTATGCAAGATCACACAAACTTTACAAAGTTTAATAATCTTACCCAGCCAGTTGAAAGCATGAAATTTAAACTCATGCTCTGTGTTTTGTTTTCTATCCTGTGTGATTAATGTGTATTTTACAGAAATGCTCCGATATGTATCTTTTATAGAACAACATTTTAATATGTGCGGTTGTAGAATTTTTATAGTATTTGTGTGTGTTTGTGCTGTGACCCGCTTTGGGCCATGGGAAGAGGAGGGTAAGAAATATAAAAATAATTGTTTTATTTCTTCTCCTTCTCCTTCTCCTTCTCCTTCTCCTTCTCCTTCTCCTTCTCCTTCTCCTCCTTCTCCTTCTCCTCCTTCTCCTTCCCCTTCCCCTTCCCCTTCCCCTTCCCCTTCCCCTTCCCCTTCCCCTTCCCCTTCCCCTTCCCCTTCCCCCCCTCCCTTCTCCTCCTCCTCCTCCTCCTCCTCCTCCTCCTCCTCCTTCTCCTTCTCTTAATGTCCTGCTGATTGATTTCTGACTCAATCTGGTAGATCTCTTGGCTGCTTCAAATTACAATGAACACAACAATCGCAGAGTCGCTGAGTGTGGCAGGGAACATATTTCTAGGAATGGTAAGCAATTTTTATGCATGCCAAAGGCAATGTTTCTAATTCAAACACAAATAGGTAAGGACATTTTTGGTGTACTCTAGGATTTTTTTTTTACCTCAAACTTACCTATTGCTTTTTAAGTCTGCATTTTCCAGAACTGTTTGACAACCATTGCTTCAGGTTGACAGATTTGTAAGCTTGTGAACAAAAATCTGATTTGGGCCTTTTTAAAAATCGATTGTATTTCTTGCCCTGCAGACAGAGGCACTGATGTTGATTCACCCCTACCTGGCAGAACTGACAGGCTCAGAAATCCATGCTATAATGACTGGAGGCTTCGCCACCATTGCTGGCAGTGTATTGGGAGCCTATGTTTCATTTGGGGTGAGTAGAGTGCTCAAGGACAACTCTACAAATCCCAATATTGGGGAACAACTTGTCTGGCATTCAGTAGTGCATTTTTCATGAATGTTTTTTTGGTACAGAATAAGGCTGCCTTTACATTATTGCACAGTATTTCTCTTTTGAGATGAAATCAATTCTGTTCTCATTTCTCTGCATCCTGCTGCAGATTGATGCATCCTCCTTGGTTGCAGCTTCAGTTATGGCAGCACCATGTGCGCTGGCTATGGCGAAACTCGTGTACCCAGAAGTAGAAGAATCAAAGTTCCGAAATGCAGAGAATATCAATATTTCCTGTGGGTGAGAGATGCAGAAAATAGCAAAAAGTGTTTGAAGTCCCTTTCCAAAAATCATGAGAAAAATATCTAAGGAATGCATTCCTTTCTTTTAGCTTACTGTGTTTTCTCATAGGGAAGCACAGAACCTTCTAGAAGCTGCCAGCACTGGTGCTGCCATGTCCGTGGAGGTGATTGCTAGTATTGCAGCCAACCTTATAGCTTTCCTGGCTATGTTAGCCTTCGTCAACTCTGCACTTGCTTGGCTGGGTGAGCTGGTTAACATACCGGAACTCTCCTTCCAGGTAGGACCTGCAACTTGTTGACTCTCAAAAACACATTCAACTGTTTTCTGTCCTTTGCAATTTTATGTCAACACAACTTTTTCTTCCTTATTGTACCAAGCAAGCTCTAGAAATTAGCACTGTGGGAATTATTACTTTGGGAAGTCAGACTTGGCCACGGTAGTCCACACTCTGGTTACATCCCAAATAGACTACTGCAACACGCTCTACGTGGGAATACCTTTGAAGACTGTTCAAAAACTTCAAATGGTCCAGAGGGTGGCAGCCAGATTGCTCACTGGAGCAGCGTACAGGGAGCATACAAACCCTCTGTTACTGGCTCCACTGGCTGCCAGTCTGCTACCAAACACAATTCAAAGTACTGGTGTTAGCCTATAAAGCCCCAAATGGTTCTGGCTCAGCTTATCTATCTGAACATATCTCCCTCTCTGAACCACGTCAGAGTTTAAGAATATCTGGGGAGGCATTGTTCTCAATTCTGCTTCCCTCGCAGGTGAAATTGGCAGAGACAAGAGGCAGGGCCTTCTCAGTGGTGGCCCCTCGGCTGTGGAACTCCCTCCCCAAGGATATTAGATCAACCCCCTCCCACCTGACCTTCCGCAAGAGAGTGAAATCGTGGCTTTATGACCAAGCCTTAGAGATAGACTAGGAACAAAGTGCAATGACCATTGGAACGGCCTGGATTATGCTAATGGATTACGTGTTCAATTCTGAATTGCATTGTTTTAAAACGTTTTAATTGCTTTATTGTACTGTTAAATTCTATTTTAATATTTACTTAAGTGTACATTGTGTTTTAAGGCATTGAATCATTGCTTGTATGTAAATCCGCCTTGAGTCCCCTCTGAGTTGAGAAAGGCGGGAGAGAAATGTTGTATATTATAAAATTAATAATAAATAATACCATAATTGGAATCTAACTGGAATAATCACAACCCTGCAGATTCTTTATCATAAGTTCAAGGTGCATTTGGATTAGATAGAAGGAATGCAGTGTAGACCTGGGACACATTTTTCACGACGTACACGAACAAAATAAAAGCTAGAGGGGCATTAGGAACACAGGTAGTTAATTGCCCATTGAGTTTATTTACAAAGCATTTTCTCTTTTCCAGTTGATCTGCTCCTATGTTTTGATGCCGGGAGCATTCTTGTTAGGGGCAAGCTGGGATGATGCACCTGTGGTAGCTGAACTGCTGGGAATGAAGCTCTTCTTAAATGAGTTTGTGGCCTATCAGTATCTGTCAAGCATGAGGAAAAAGCGGTTGGATGGAAAGCCTGAGTGGGGCAAAACAAGAAAACAGTGGATTTCAGTAAGTGCACAGAATACACAGAGCCTGAGAAGGGAGAGAAGGAAAAAGGCTAAACTAGTATTCCAGATTCTCACAAAATATAATCTCAGTAACATGCCTTTGCTCTCCCTCTCTCTCTGTATGCATATATGTAGGACAATGTCACAGTACATGTACAATTCAATAAATTGATGTGGATATATCCTGCTCAGTTGCAAGTGTGTAATTGCCATTGCATTGAGCACAATTTCTCTTGCCATTTAGGTGAGATCTGAAACCATCATAACGTTTGCTCTTTGTGGCTTTGCAAATCTGGGCTCCACTGGAATCATGCTAGGAGTACTGTGTAAGTCCAAAACCCCTGGGGACACCATGCAGTTTATGTGGTACGTCATATTCACCCAATCATGTTATTTTTGTGCAAAGCATCCCTGGTACCAGAGCGGAAGAGTGAGTTCTCTCGCATCATCATGCGGGCTTTGTTCACTGGATTCTCTGTCTCTTTGGTCAACTCATGCATTGCAGGTAATGTCTGGGCTTTTCAGAATGGCAACAACCACAGGGATTATGGGGAGGGTTAATTAAGCATCTCAAACGCAAGATGCAGAGCAGTGGCAGAAAATTTGGAGGGATGTCTCTGAATTAATCATGTGATGCAGGATAGCAGATTGAAACTGGTCGTATTTATTGATCAGTTTTTAGAAAGCTGGTCACCAAATGAAATGTAGGCCTACTGAGCAAGTGTCACCAGCCATTCCTTGCATTTCTCTCATTGCTCTTCTCACTCTTCAGGAAGGATGCAGGCTTTTTCATGGTCTCTGTACTCTACAGGTATCCTATATATGCCTAGAGGAGAAGTCACTGACTGCCCAAAATTCTTCAGTACAACCATTCTCAACACTACCAGCTACAATATCTATCGTTGCTGCAAACAATTGTTTGCCAGGTGAGATACAGTACAGCCACGAAGCATTCTCATTGGGGAGAGTGCAGTAAAAACCATGAGCCTACATTTAGTCACTCATTTAGTTCTCTTCTACAGAATGTCATATGCAAGAGATGGGAAATAATTGCTGTTGGGTTTAAGTGTAAATGATTGTAGATTCATGCCTTGCTTCCTGCTCTTGGGTCTACATTTTGTGTCCCACAGCCACACATTCTTTTTCTCTGGATAGAAATGATATTGAGACCAAAACATCCTGAACCAGCATTTCTTTGGGGATAGGAAGAAATAACCTAATTACCACAGAGACACAGGATACTAATATTAGGACACTATATAGATTTCTGGGATAACTGTGGTCATAAAAAATTCTTAAATACTTTCACAGTTGTAAGTACTGTGTGGTTTCCCATTTCTCAAAATCTATTTAATTTGAAAACAGGAGTGAACAGTCTGCATGTTATCGTGGTTTAAGTATTAGGATTCATTTCTGGAGACCAGGGTTTGAATCCCTGTTCAGCAGTGGAAACCCATTGGGTGGCCTTGAGCAAGGCACACTATTTATTTATTTATTATTTACTGCATTTGTATACCACCTTTCTCAGCCCGCAGGCGACCCAAGGCGGTTAACAGAGCAGAATTCAATGCTTACAATATCTTATATGCAATTAAAAACATAACATATAATAAAAACTGAACAAATCAATAAAATATAAATTCATAGTGTCTTCTTGTTAAAAATGTTGTCCGCACTCAATGTCTAGTCGTTCCATTTTCCTGTGTCAGCTATTCTGCATTTGCAAACGCTTGTTCAAAAAGCCACGTCTTGACTTTTTTCTGGAATGTTAAAAGGGAGGGGGCCAATCTAATATCTATAGAGGGCGTCCCACAGCCGAGGAAAAGGCCCTGTCTCTTGTTTCCACCAAATGTACTTGTGATGAAGGCGATAATGAGAGCAGGGATTCCCCAGACTATCTTAAGGTCCTAGATGGCTCATAAGGGGAGATGCATTCGGACATGTAAGGTGGGCCAGAACCGTTTAGGGCTTTATAGGCTAAAGCCAGCACTTTGAATTGTGCCCGGTAGTTGGAGCAACAGAGGAGTTGTACGCTCCCTGAGTGCTGCTCCTGTTAGCAATCTGGCTGCTGTTCATTGGACCATTTGGAGCATCCAGACAGTCTTCAAAGGCAACCCTACGTATAGCGCATTGCAGTAGTCTATACAGGATGTAACCAGAGCGTGTAACACTACACTCTCTTAGCCTTAGTGGAAGGCAAAGACCAACTTCTTCTGAACAACCCTTGCCATGAAGCCATTGGGAGATATCATCCGGAGCTATGGAGTTCGATGTCATCTGTATGCAAATGACGTACAACTCTATCATTCCTTTCCACCTACAACTAAGGAGGCTGTTCAGGTCCTGAACTGGTGCTTGGCAGCTGTGATGGTCTGGATGAGGGCAAACAAATTGAAAGTGAATCCAGACAAGACAGAGGTACTCCTGGTCAGTCGAAGGGCCAAAATGGTATAGGGTTATAGCCGGTGCTGGACAGGGTTACACTCCCCCTGAAGACAGAGGTTCGCAGCTTGGGAGTTCTTCTGGACTCTTCACTGAGTCTTGAACCCCAAGTTGTTGTGGTGGCCAGGGGAGCTTTTGCACAATTAAAACCTGTGCACTAGTTGTGCCTCTACCTTGAGAAGCCAGACTTGGCTATGGTGGTCCACACTCTTGTTACATCGAGAATACATTACTGCAATACTCTCTACTAGGGCTGGGCGGTTTCGTTCGTTAATTTCGTAATTCGTTATTAATTCATTATTTTTTTTTATAACGAAGCGATATTGAACCATTCAGGAGCAACTAAAAATCAAAATGAATTTTTAAAATTTATTTCGTAATTGTTTCGTAATTGTTTCGTAATTGTTTCGTTATTATTTCCGTATGTCTGGTGCAAGTTTTATAGTTGTTGTTTGTTTTATCAGTGAAAAAAAATAATTATCACACCAACAGTCAACAACAGAGGGAGAGGGAAGCTTCAGAAGTTCCCCCTGTTCCATTTGGAGGTTTTTTTAGCGTATTGCGCAATCGCGTCCGCCATTAACGAATCGATTCGTTATTGTTTCGAAATTGTTTCGTAATTTCCGAAATTTCGTAAATATCAAACTTTTTTAAAGAAAAATTTCGGAATTCTTTTAAAAAACGAAATGCAAAAACCCCCTAAAAACGAATCGAGTTTAGAAACAAATTTTTCCGTGGTTGCCCAGCCCTACTCTCTACATGGAGTTACCTTTGAAAACAGTTCAGACGATTCAAATGGTCCAACGAGCAGCAGCCAAATTGCTAACTGGGGTGGCGTACAGGGAGCACACAACTCCTCTGTTATGTCAGCTCCACTGCCTGCCAGTCAGCTACCAAGCACAATTCAAAGTGCTGGTTTTAGCCTATAAAGCCCTAAACAGTCCTGGCCCAGCTTTCCTGTCGCCCTCTATGAATCATCTCGGAGGTTAAGATCTTCTGGGGAGGTCCTTCTCTGTGTCCTCCCTCCATCACAAGTGCGGTTGGTGGGAACAAGAGACAGGGCCTTCTCAGTGATGGCTCCAGTGAGATTAGATCAGCACCCTCCCTCCTGGCCTTCATAAAGAAAGTTGTGCTTGTGGCTTTTGGCCAGTAATGCAATGCAAAGAATAATCAGGAAACACGTGCTATGACAATTGGAATGGCCACAGCAGACGATTTTTGGATCATGTGATTTTAATATTTATATTAAGATGTTTTTAATGCTTTGTCTTAGTGTCTGCATGTTGTATGTGCCTATGTTTAATGGTTTTAATGATTTTAATGTATAGTTATCTGTCAGTGTATAGTTATTGTGGTTTTATTTTATTATATGTATGTTGGCATTGAATTCTTGCCATTAACATGTTGTAAAGGCCTTGAATCCCCCCAGGGATGAGAAAGGAGGTATAAAAATATACTGAATAAATAAATAAATAAATAAATAAATAAATAAATAAATAAATGAATAAATGAATAAATAAGAAAACCTTACGATAGGATCACTGTAAGCTTGAAGACACACAGTTACAACAAGCGACCAATAGATGACACTGGTTTTCTTTGAAAGGTCTGTCTGTTTTCAAAGATTCAGCAAACCAGCAAGTGTTTGGTTTATTGTCATTTTACAACCAAAATCACTGAAGTGTTGTGTGATTTCCTGACTGTTTGGCTGTATTCTAGCAGCATTTTCTCCTGATGCTTTGCCTGCATCAGTGGCTGGCCTCTTCAGAGAATCTGTTTGAATTTTCTACAAAAACAAATTATACTGCAATATGTCAACCACCTTGATAGAAGGATGCTACCTGGATTTTTTTTCTAGATGTAATTCAGTGGTTCCCCCGCACCCCAGTATTTTTTTAGACAGACAATCAGTTGAACAGTCAACTATTTAAGTAGCCTTTTGGATTGCATCCATTTGGAAAAGTCACAGTATAGTTTCTATTCTTACAACATTTTCATTGGGATAGAATCATAGAGTTGGAAGAGACTTCACGGAACATCCAATCCAATCCCCTGCCAAGAAGCAGGAAAATTGCATTCAAAGCACCCGACAGATGGCCATCCAGCCTCTGTTCAAAGCCTCCACCACACTCCGGAGCAGAGAGTTCCACTGCTGAACAGCTCTCACAGTCAGGAAGTTTTTCCTCATGTTCAGGTGGAATCTTCTTTCTTGTAGTGTGAAGCCATTGTCCCATTGCGTCCTAGTCTCCAGGGCAGCAGAAAACAAGCTTGCTCCCAACTCCCTATGAGAGACATATTTATACATGGCTCTCATCATTTCTCCCCTCAGCCATCTCTTCTGCAGGCTAAACATGCCCAGCTCCTCATAGGGCTTGTTCTCCAGACCCGTGATCATTTTAGTCGCCCTCCTCTGGACACATTCCAGCTTATCAACATCTTCCTTCAATTGTGGTGCCCAGAATTGGACACAATATTCCAGGTGTGGTCTAACCAAGACAGAATAGAGCATGACTTCCCTGGATCTAGACACTAGACTCCTATTGATGCACGCCAAAATCCCATTGGCTTTTTTTGCCGCCACATCACATTGTTGGCTCATGTTTAACTTGTTGTCCACGAGACTCCAAGATCTTTTTCACACGTCCTGCTCTCAGTGTTGTGAGTCTAATCCCCGGTTGGGCAGCATTTGCTATGGAACTCCCTACCTATTGACATTAGATCGGCCCCCTCCCTCCTGACCTTTCAAAAAAACCTGAAAACTTGGCTTTTCAAGCAAGCCTTTGGAACCTCAGTATAATTTAGACAACTTGAATTGGAAAATGACCTAGGAACAGCTAAGACGATGGAACGGATAAAGACTGAACATGAAGACATAGTTTTATAATTTTTTTTTACTATTTTTATGCTTTTAAATGCTTTGTGATGTTTTTACTTTTGTTAATGTATGTATTTTGTATATGGCATCGAATTGTGCCAACTTGTTCGCCGCCCTGAGTCACCTTCGGGCTGATATGGACGGGGTAGAAATAGTGTAAATAAATAAATAAACAAATTACAAAAGAAATGTAAGGTTGTGATGTAGTTTACAGTTCTGAAAAGAGAAATGAACAAGGCATCCCAAATTTTACGCACAAGTATATAAGATCCCACAAAGAGAATGTAATGTTGTTGCTGTTACATTACAGCACTGTGGCTGGTTCCGGTGGATCATTTTCGTTTACTGGCGATTGGAGCAACGTCAATTCTCAGGATTACTTAAAGAAATGCTGTAAACACTATGTGGACAAGGTTTGTGGCAATGTGTGACAGACAAGGAATTAACCAAGGTAACTTGAGAAAGAATCTCACAACAGTGCCACTGAACTGAATGCAGAGGCATGCTCAAGGCTCAAGAACAAAGTAACTTTTATACTAAAAGGTCATAGAAACATGACTGTAGCCCTGACATTCCTGCCTTCACACAGATATCCCACATTTTTGTCATGGGAAATCCAACACTGAATTCAAGATGTGCTTATGTGAGATGAAAGTATTTATGAACCAAGGAAAAATAGATTTCTCATGAGTTCACACATGGTCTTAATATCTGACAAATGTGAGTTTATGTATATGCGTATTCCCAATCTCATTTCAGTTTGACCCTCCCACCCCACACACACACACACCCCTTTGTTTTCTGCTTGTGCCTCCTCTCCCCCCTTCTCAAGAGATTGCTCTTTTGCTGTTACTGTCAATTGTTTTACTGATTATTGCTATTTTGTATTTTTAATGCAAGGGTAATAAATATTTTGAATAAAAAATTATGCAAGCTTTTTTTCCTTAGTGGTTTCCTAGTTCCTCCAAAGGAAAAAATATTTCACACCTGACTTGTTACTGTGAAGAAATCCATTTTGCATGGTAAGTTACATTATTTCTTCTGAACATAGACACTACGTATAGTGAGGGCAACCCATCCACTGAAAGTACTGGTTCACTTTGTTCCTCAAACACTTCGTAGCATTCAAGGAACATCACTGAAACTCATGGAGCCCCCAATGGCACAATAGGTTAAACCCAGGTTGGAGGTTCGAATCTGAGGAGCAGGAGCGACTCAACCCATTACACAAAGTAAGCATTTGCAGTATAGTTGATTTTGCTCAAGGGTGCTCTTGAGGCGCTCTTGGGGGGAAAGAGACCTTTACATATGCGAGTTGTATTTACTGGGATGTATAGTTCACCTACAATCAAAGAGCATTCTGAACTCCACCAATGATGAAATTGGACCAAATATGGCACACAAAACTCCCACGATGAACAGTAAATATATATCAGTGATTGGTTGGGGGGAGGGGAGGGGGCACCAAAATACTGTTTGCTTACTGTTGAAAATTACCTAGGGCCGCCTCTGCTGAGGAGAGTGGGTTGAGCTCTCTCTGTCAGCTCTAGCTCCCCATGCAAAGACAGGAGGGAAGCCTCCCACAAGGCTGGTAAAACATCCAGGCGTCCCCTGGGCAGCGTCCTTGCAGACGGCCAGTTCGCTCACACCAGAAGTGACTTGAGCGCGCCTGACACGAAAAAAAAAACTTATAAGTAAGAGATTGGGTTGCCTTTAAAAGTATAATTGGGTTGTTACATTTTAAACTTTTTGTCATTTCAAACTTTTCTTAGTATGATACTAAGTTAATAACATATTGTATTTACTTTTTACTTGTAAGCCGCTCTGAGTCCCCTTCGGAGTGAGAAGGGCGTCAGATAAATGTCATAAATAAATAAATATAAATAATACTTTCCAGATTTGTTGGAATTGTTGTTAATTACAAGATTTGTAGTACAACATCTCTGGAAACCCTACCTATTGGGAAGGGCAGCAAAAACCTAACCAAAAGAAACTGCTTCAATGTATTGTTGAAGGTTTTCTGTGAGTTTTCCAGCCATGTTCCAGAAGCATTCTCTCCTGACGTTTCACTCACATCTATGGCAGGCATCTTCAAAGGTTGTAAGGTATATTGGAAACTAGACATGGAAAGTTTATATATTTATTGAAGGTCCAAGGTGGGAGAAAGAACTCTTGTCTGTCTAAGGCAAGTATAAATGTTGCAATTAATCACCTTGATTGGCATTGCGAACCTTGCAGCTTCAAGGCCTGGCTGCTTCCTGCCTGGGGGAATCCTTTGTTGGGAGGTGTTAGCCGGCTCTGATTGTTTCCTGTCTGGAATTCCCTTGTTTTCATATTATTGTTCCTTATTTACTGTCCTGTAGATTTTGTTCATTTTCATGATTTCCTCCTTTCTGTTGAAATTGTCTGCATGGTTGTGGATTTCAGCGGCTTCTCTGTGTAGCCTGACATGGTGGTTGTGAGAGTGGTCCAGCATTTCTGTGTTCTCAAATAATATGCTGTGTCCAGGTTGGTTCATCAGGTGCTCTGCTATGGCTGACTTCTCTGGTTGAATCAGTCTGCAGTGTCTTTCATGTTCCTTGATTTGTTTCTAGGCAATGCTGCTACGTTTGGTGGTCCTTATGTAGACCACATGGTATATGGTAGACTCTTGCAGAAGTGAGAAGATCCCTCTTGTCCTTTGCTGAACCTAGCATTGCTTGGGTTTTCTTAGTGAGTCTGTAGATAGTTTGTAGGTTGTGTTTCTTCATGAGCTAACCTAGGCAGTCAGTGGTTCCGTGGATGTATGTTAAGAACACTTTCCCTTTGGGTGGATCTTTGTCTTGACTCTTGTGGCTTGTTCTTGGCCCCTGCAGCTCTTCTGATGTCTGCGGTGGAGTCTCCATTGGCCTGTAGAGCCCAGTGTAAGTGGTTCACTTCAACTTGGAGGAGATATATAAACCTCCCTTGCCTAGTTTCCAAACTACCTCACAATCTCTGAGGATGCCTGCCATAGATGTGGATGAAATGTCAGGAGAGGATGCTTCTGGAACATGGCCATACAGCCCAGAAAACTCACAGCAACACAGAAACAGCTTCAGTTGGACAGAAATGTCAGCTGCCATGGCATTTAGAATACGCACATGGGATCAGTGTTTAAGTACATTCCTGGAGCTATTTGTCTTCTGTTTGCCAGAGATAATGTCAAAATGCTTCCAATGAGCTTGATAAGAGAACAGTCCTGTTCCCTATGATTAAGGAGGCTGCTCATTAATCTATATTTACAGGCTGATAAGTGTTGGCACCAACCGCATGGAAGTGACACTCTCCAAGGGGACTTTAGCATATTACGCTTTTCCTGTGTAAACGCTGAAAAGATTATCACCTGCTTTTTTCATTGACTTCTCTGTAGTGCTTGTTAGAAATAAGAGTTTTTACAGGGCATCATAAAGCATTTCTAAGTGTTCTAATTTTAAAACCATTCTCCCTTCCTTGTACCAACATGAATGTATCCTAACTACTAGGAACCCCCAGTGACTCAATGGGTTAGACCCTTGTGCCGGCTAGACTGCCAGCAGTTTGAATCCAGGGAGCGGGGTGAGTTCCCATCTGTCAGCTTCAGCTCCTCATGTGGGAACATGAGAGAAGCCTCCCACAGTATGGTAAAACATCGGGGGAGCAGGGGGAGCTCCCATCTGTCAGCTTCAGCTTCTCATGCAGGGACATGAGAGAAGCCTCCCACAGTATGGTAAAACATCTGGGAAGCAGGGTGAGCTCCCATCTGTCAGTTCCAGCTTCTCATGTGGGGACATGAGAGAAGCCTCCCACTGTATGGTAAAACATCTGGGGAGCAGTGTGAGCTCCCGTCAGCTCCAGCTTCTCACGCAGGGACATTCCAATTCTGGGCACCACAATTCAAGAGAGATATTGACAAGCTGGAATGTGTCCAGGGCGACTAAAATGATCAAGGGTCTGGAGAACAACCCCTATGAGGAGCGGCTTAAGGAGCTGGGCATGTTTAGCCTGAAGAAGAGAAGGCTGAGAGGAGATATGATAGCCATGTATAAATATGTGAGAGGAAGCCACAGGGAGGAGGGAGCAACTTGTTTTCTGCTTCCTTGGAGACTAGGACGCGGAACAATGGCTTCAAACTACAAGAGAGGAAATTCCATCTGAACATGAGGAAGAACTTCCTGACTGTGAGAGCCATTCAGCAGTGGAACTCTCTGCCCCGGAGTGTGGTGGAGGCTCCTTCTTTGGAAGCTTTTAAACAGAGGCTGGATGGCCATCTGTCAGGGGTGATTTGAATGCAATATTCCTGCTTCTTGGCAGAATGGGGTTGGACTGGATGGCCCATGAGGTCTCTTCCAACTCTTTGATTCTATGATTCTGTGACATGAGAGAAGCCTTCCACAGTATGGTAAAACATCTGGGGAGCAGGGTGAGCTCCCATCTGTCAGCTCCAGCTTCTCATGCAGGGACATGAGAGAAGTCTCCCACAGGATGGTAAAACATCCAGGCATCCCTTGGGCAACGTCCTTGCAGACAACCAATTCTCTCACACCAGAAGCAACTTGCAGTTTCTCAAGTCACTCCTGACATGAAAAAAAAATCCTAACTCTTCTTGTCAGCGATTGTTCCTCTTCTGTGTTTGAGGGACAATCTTTCTACAGTATGTAACACACTGTTCAATTGAATCACTTTTGGTAATGGTTGTGTGTCCAAATAAACACTCGCTTTTGGCTTTTGGGTACTCTCTGGAGATAAATGGACACATACAATTTAACCAGTAAACTACATGATTCCCAGCATGTTTAATTGTTTTCGGCACATAAAAATAATCCCCAAATCTATAGCTTTTACAATCTCGTGTCACATATATTGTTTTTCATTTGGTAATTAGTCTAGGGATTTTTCTTCACTTTCATTCAGGCATGTTGTGAGAGCAGGGAGGATAATTGCCCAGCTATTGATATTTAAATGTATTTGCAGATCTATATTATTGATTTTCCCCCTTTGAAAAAAAATCCCTTTCCTGATAATAAAGCCAGGATTGTATCTTGTGAAAAAGCTCTCTTTCATGAACCTTTTGAATGTTCTAGTTAAGCATTTGTTTTAAAATGCCTTGTTTTGTGTGTGCTGAATTTTACCAGATTGAAAGGAATCAAAATCTAGGAAGATTATACCTTCTGCTCACATTCTGAAGTCGTTCTGCATTTCATCAAGAGTCATTCTGTAAAACCTTGTTTATGTTTTTATTATATATCTTGGTTTTCTCAGAAAACTGGGGTAATGAGCAAAAAGACCCATTCCCATTGGGCAGTGCTTTTCTGAAGTGTCTTTTACATGACCCCAAAGAGAGAGTAAGAAGAATGTTAGCCTGATCCCCGCTGAGATCCACTTGATAAGAGATCCTGACTCAGGAGTTGTAAGCCTCAGGTGTACGTGAGGGGAGGAGCAGGATAGTGCTGGAGTCCAGTCTCCAGGTCTTTGGACTGTGTTGTTAATTTATAATCTGCCCATTACCAGCCATGGATGTGCAAGGAATTCTCTGAAGGAGCCGGAGAGAACTTCATTGTGCTGTAAGTTGATTTACCAGTCTCTCAGGGTTAGATCAGAGATGCATTCCTAGTGGGCAGCACTTGAAGGAGTGGAGCCATGGAGGAGGAACTGGGCAGAAAGGATTGGTACACCTGGACATAGGTAATTTAAAGGCATCTTAGTGCAGTCATATGCTATGGCTGCTTTGGAAATGTTCTTTTTTCATGCAAAAAAGTATCAGAGCATGCAAAAGTTGTGGGGATGTTTGGACCTCAAAGCCAGTGACCACGCTAACTGAGGGATTCTGGGTACCAGATTCTGGCTGCCAGTTTGCTACCGGGCACAATTCAAAGTGCTGGCTTTAGCCTATAAAGCCCTAAATGGTTCTGGCCCAACTTACATGTTCAAATGCATCTCCCCTTATGAACCACCTAGGACCTTAAGATAGTCTGGGGAAGCCCTGCTCTCGTTACCGCCTTCGTCAGAAGTACACTTGGCGGAAACGAGAGACAGGGCCTTCTCGGTGGTGACTCCATTCTGGAAGAAAGTCAAGACGTGGCTTTTTGAACAAGTGTTTGCAAATGCAGAGGGAAGGCACAAAAAAATCAAATAAATCAGGGGTCCTCAAACTAAGTCCCGAGAGCCTAATACAGCCCTCCAAGGTAATTTATCTGGCCCTTGCTCAGGGTCAACCTAAGTCTGAAAGGACTTGAAAGCACACAACAACAACAACAACAACAACAACAATCCTATCTCATCAGCCAAATGCAGGCATACACTTCCCATTGAAATTCTCATTTTTGTTAAAATTGTTCTTCATTTTAATTATTGTATTGTTTTAAAGTGTTTTTTGCACTACAAATAAGATATGTGCAGTGTGCATAGGAACTGATTCATGTTTTGTTCAAATTATAATCCGGCCCTCCAATAGTTTGAGGGGCTGTGACCTGGCCCTCTGTTTAAAAATGTTTGAGGACCCCTGCCCTAAATGTCCAAAACGCATCTCCCCTTATGAACCGTCTAGGACTTTAAGATCATCTGGGGAGGCCCTGCTCATACTGCTGCCTTTGTCACAAGTACGTTTGGTGGAGACGAGAGACAGGGCCTTCTCAGTGGTGGCCCCTTGGCTGTGGAACGCCCTCCCTATAGATATTAGATCGGCCATCTCCCTTTTAACATTCCCGGAAAAAGTTAAGACGTGGCTTTTTGAACAAGCGTTTGCAAATGCAGAGTAACTGACACAGGAAAATGGAACGACTAGACAATGAGTCCGGACAACATTTTTAACAAGGAGACACTATGAATTTATATTTTATTGATTTGTTTAGTTTTTATTATATGTTATGTTTTTAATTGTATTTAAGACATTGTAAGCATTGAATTTTGCCCTGTTAACCACCTTGAATCGCCTACGGGCTGAGAAAGGTGGTATACAAATATGGTAAATAAAATAAAATAAAATAAATACTATAATCCAAAAATTAGTTCCAATGCATGGAAAAAATGCCTGCAATGTCAGGGCCAGCCCAAACACCAGAGAAGCATCTATCTTTGGTGATAGATGATGAGGACAATGATGGCAGGCTCTCCTTCCAGCTTTTTCTTCTGGCCATTCCCCACTTTTAAGGGGAAAGCTGTATATTTGACACTCTGAACTTCTCCCTCAAAACTGTTGTCCAGGTATAGTTAAGAATCCCATCCTTTAGCTAGTGGCGGAAGACTCACCTGCCAATCCAGATGGCTTCTATACATGAAATGTCTTTAGCCTTCAACAGCAAATAGATTGCCAACCAATACATTTGTTTACCTCTTACTGAAAAACAAATATATTTGCCTTTGTTGTTTATTTGCGGTTTCTTTCTCCACTTTATGGGCCTCATCGCTCGAGATGCAGCCAATGAGGGATGCACGCAATGGAGAAACTTAACTGCCCTGTGTCCCTTAAGATATTGTGCTGGTCTCTGGTGCAGTAGAAAAGACTGTCCCGCCCTCAGTATTGATATAGTATTTAACTGCCAATCTGATCAGCATGTGGTTCAGGTGGGGGAAGTGGCATTTTATCCTTCATCTTAGGCTGCAAATGATTCCGGGCTGGCCCCAGGACTAGGAATGCAACACTAGAGAGAAGACCCAGTGCATGGCTGTGCATGCCCTCCCTGAAGTTGGAAAGGTATTGAAGACGCCAACATTTCCAAGCTGATCAAGTATCATGTTTTCCCAATGTATAGTAGCTAACTCCACAGTCCCAGGGAGATGGGAGATTTCCGGATTTCGATCGGAGGTGGTGATCGAGGATTGGAGAACCCTGCTTTAGAGCTCACGGTAAATTTCACCATCACACTTACAATTTTGTTAGCCCGACTCTCTGCACTGCTTCCAAAGATAACAACCATGCTTGTGCTGTTGGCAGGAATCAGAGGGAAATCCAGGAGCAACAAAGAATCATCACCCCCTTGATATTTTGGGAGAAAACAACACACGTGATGTTCCTTTTACGAGGTCAGAAAACCTGATTATAAAGGAAGGGGTAGGGGAAATTCACTCTAAACCCTCTCACTCACTTGAGGGTTGGGAGGTAGGGAATGATCCATGACCAGCATCCTTCTCTTGCATCCCTGGTCCCACAACAATGATGGAAGAGCACTAGATACATTTGAGCTTATCTATGATTTTCCACGATGCCATAGAACAGATATAAGTGGACATAAGAGAACATACTACCCCGGGTTGCTGTAAGTTTTTCGGGCTGTATGGTGATGTTCCAGAAGCATTCTCTCCTAACGGTTAATCTGCATATATGGCAGGCATCCTCAGAGGTTGTGAGGCCATTGATGCAGGCAAAATGTCAGGAGAGAATGCTTCTGGAACATGGGCCATACAGCCCAAAAAATTTAAAGCAACCCATTTGACAATACATACTACCCCGCTTCTGAAAGAGCTGCACTAGCTAACGATTAGTTTTGGGGCCCGATTCAAAGCTCTGCTTTTGACCTTTAAAGCCCTTCACTGCATCAGACCAGATTACCTGAGACATAGGGTCCCTCTAGAGCAGTGATTCCCAACCTTTTTTTTGACCAGGGACCATTTGACCAGGGACCACGCTCCAACATTAGTACCAAAAGGATTACAAATCGGTTTTTGGTCAACTTTAGATTCAGTTTGGTTATTTGGGGTTCTGATTCAGAAAATTGCATTGGATAGACCACATCAGCTCCAGTTTCTGATACAGAACATATGCCCCCCAGTAGTCACCATCTGCTCACCCACAGAAAACCATATTTAATAATCTAGAGCTGATGAGGTAGTAGTAATTTTTCATGGGTAGCCAGACTCTCTCCTCCCGACATTCCCATTGCCTTGGTTCTGTAAGAGGGTTTCACAAGACCAGTCACTCTCATGGTTTTGGTTTTAAGGCAACAGTGTAGTAATGGTGAGGCCTCGGACAACATTTTCGTTCTGGTGGTCCACGGACAACAGGTTGGGAACCACTGCTTTATATACACTGGGGAGAACATTAAAATCAAGTAGAGAATTGCTAGTATCCTCAAGTATCCATGACGCTCTCCACCTGAAAATGACAATTCGCACCCTCTCTGTTGTTTTTCAGGAAGAGCCTAAAAGCCTTCCTTTTCAAAGAAGCCGTCAGAGGGAACTAATGATACCCGAAGATTAGGAAGGTCATTCAACCTCACCACATATTATTAGAGTGGTTTATTTTAAAAAATCTAATTTAGGGGGATTTTAAGTAGCGGTTTACAGCTTTTACTAATCTTTATGGATTTAACTCATTGTTAATTATTATATTGTATGTTTTTACTGGCTGTAAGTTTCCTTGGCCCCTTGATTGGGGAAAGGCTTGGTATACATTTCATAAATAAATACTGAATTGGCATCCCATAGATCAGATCTGGCCTCCCTCCAACTACTATCCCTGTTTAGCTTTGCCTTCTCACCAGTCCTGCTGTAAAATGCCTTTATTTTGCTGTTTTACCATTTATCTTCTTGATGTAATCCTTTTCAGGTATAAGAGTGTGACTCGGCCTTTCTCTAAAGCAAGGAGCTTTTGCAAGGCACATGTCAAGTTCATAAAGATAGCCATATGGTGCATCTTGTGGGCAGGTGAGATTTTCACACACACAAATCACAATATGTTTGGGGAAGTAGAGAGAGAAACAGTGATATGGTGATAACTTTTGCAGTACAGGACCCTAGTCTTGATTGTGAGTATACACACACACATATATATGCAATGAATAGCATCATAACCAATGTATTAACGTCATTATCAAAAACTCGGGAAAAGTTTGCGTTTTTTAACCACAGCTCCTAGATTTCTCCACGTAGTGTAGAATCATAGAATTCTAGAATCCTAGAGTTGGAAGAGACCTGGTGGGCCATCATCCAGTCCAACCCTTCTGCCAAGAAGCAGGAAAATCACATTCAAAGACCCCTGACAGATGGCCATCCAGTTTATGTTTAAAAGCTTCCATAGAAGGAGCCTCCACCACACTCTGTGCCAGAGAGTTCCACTGCTGAACAGCTCTCACAGCCAGAAAGTTCTTCCTAATGTTCAGATGGAATCTCCTTTCTTGTAGTCTGAAGCCATGGCTCCATTGTGTCCTAGTCTCCAGGGCAGCAGAAGACAAGCTTGCTCCCTCCTCCCTATGACTTCCTCTCACATGGCTATCATGCCTCCTCTCAGCCTTCTCTTCTGCAGGCTAAGCATGCCCAGGTTTTTAAGCTGCTCCTCATAGGGCTTGTTCTCCAGACCCTTGATCATTTTAGTTGCCCTCTTTCTCTGGACACATTCCAGCTTGTCAACATCTCCCATCAATTGCGATGCCCAGAATTGGACACAATATTCCAGGTGTGTTCTGACCAAGGCAGAATAGAGCATGGGGAGCATGACTTCCCTGGATCTGGACACTAGACTCCAGGCCAAAATCCCATTAGCTTTTTTTTTGCTGCTGCATCACATTGTTGGCTCATGTTTAACTTGTTGTCCACGAGGACCCCTATATCTTTTTCACATGTGTGGCCACTGGAAATTAGTAGTCCAAATAAGTAACTTTTCCAAGCTCTGAATGACATCAATCCTATGTATTCTTGCCTGAGAGAAAGTTCCACTGAATTCAGTAGTGTTTAGCTCCCAAATTCAGACATTAAATGGTCAAACAGTGAATTTCACCAAAAATTATGTGGAAAGAAAGCATGATATGGATTGGCCAGGCATCCAGAATTTTTCAACATTCCCCAAGCTTGATGCACTTGGACTTTTCCTTCCCCTTACATATACTTTTGACAATGGATTTGTGTAAGTCAAGCTGCAGAGCCTGCCATTTCCTTTTCTCCAGCCTGTAGCTTCACAATGAAATTGTACAAGGGAAGGACAAAAAGGTCCTCTGCTGTTGGGTTTCATATGCAGACAGCAGCATTCAAAGGTCTCTCTGTCTCCTTTCTCTAGGTTATGTGGCCTATTTCGTTGCAGCTTGTTGGCTGGATTTTGATCGCGCCTTGGCTTTGGTCATTCTCACTGGTCTGGCAATTGGTCTCCTGGCCTATAGCTTGGTGAACAAATGGTGGGGGTCTGCGATTGTGAGACTCTTGAACCCTTGTGGGAAATGCTGCCAAAAGGCTTGGCCATGGCTGAAGTGGTGAGTGAAGAATTTGTCTCCTGAACAGATCTGACGTGGGCTGGAAGCTGGTCTGCATGGCGGCCAAAGGACGGCCTCCTCCCTGCCACCATATAAATAGATGGCTCTGGATGGGATTCAGTACCTTATGAGGCTCCTTTTCATTCTCCAGTACCCCTCCCATATTTGTGGGGGATACCTTCCTGCACTTGCGTAAAACTGCAGGTGATTTTGAATCTTCCTGAAATGAATCATCCTGCAAAGTTGTACTGGAGGACCGAAAATGCCTAGTGCAGCATTTCTCAAACTGGGGATTGGGACGACGGGGTTTCAGAGGGGTCACCAAAGACCGTCAGAAAACATATATTTCTGATGGTCTGAGGAACCCCTTTGGCAGAGAAGGCTGAAGACCTCTCCGGCTGTCCTTCTCTTCCTTTTTGGAAACAGACGGCGAATCCTCCCACCAAAAGCCCTCCTCCTGCTGTGATTGGCCGGCCTCTCAGTCAAAGGGAGGGCTTTTTCTGAAACTCCAAGCGGGGAGGGGAGAGCAGGTATGCTCAGTGCATGGCAGCATGTTGCGCATACATGGGAGAGCATGCGAGGCTGGAGAGGGGCTTGCATCAGTGTGTCCTTTCAAAGCATGGGGGTTCTGTGTGCCAAGTTTGGCCCAATTCTATCATTGTTGGGGTTCAGAATGCTCTTTGAGTGTAGGTGAACTATAAATCCCAGCAACTACAGCTCCCAAATGTCAAGGCCTATTTTCCCCAAACTCCACCAGTATTCACATTTGGGCATATTGAGTATCCGTGCCAAGTCTCAAACACGTTTGGCAGGGATGAGGGACAGGGCCGTCTCCGTGGTGGCCCCCACGCCTGTGGAATTCATTTCCTGGGGAAAATTAGGTCATCATCTTCCCTCCTCATCTTTAGAAAGAAGGTAAAATGTGGATGTGGGACCAGGCCTTTGGGCAATTAAGTTAAAGGAGAATTGATAATGTTGACTGGCTTGGAAATGGATTTGGATAAGTTAAACGGAGTACTCAATGGTATATGACTAGATAAATAACCACCAGACTAGTAATAGCTCAATGGACTGTAAGTATACTGTTTTAATCTTTATGTCTTAATGTTTATGCTTTTAACTTATAATTGCTGTTTGTATTTTATTATGCGGCATCGAATTTTTGCCAATTTTGGAAGCCGCCCTGAGTCCCCCTGCAGTGGTTCTCAGCCGGGGGTCCCCAGATGTCTTTGGCCTACAAATCCCAGAAATCCTGCCAGCTGGTAAACTGACTGGGATTTCTGGGATTTGTAGGCCAAAAACATCTGGGGACCCCAGGTTGAGAACCATTGCCCTAGGGGTTGAGAAGGGCGGGGTAAAAATGTTTGAAATAAATAAATAAAAATAAATAAAGTTTGGTCCAGATCCTTCATTCTTAGAGCCTACAATGCTCCCTGGATGTAGGTGAACTACAACTCCAAACCTCAAGGTCAATGCCTACCAAACCCTTCCAGTATTTTCTGTTGGTCATAGGAGTTCTGTGTGCCAAGTTCAGTTCCATTCCATCGTCGGTGGAGTTTGGAATGCTCTTTGATTGTTGGTGAACTATAAATCCCAGCAACTACAACTCCCAAATGACAAAATCTACCCCCCCCCCCCTACAAATCCCCACTGGGCATATTGGGTTTGTGTGCCAAATTTGATCCAGTTAATGAAAATACATCCTACATATCAGATATTTACATTACGATTCATAACAGGAGCAAAATTACAGTTATGGAGTAGCAACGAAAATAATTTTATGGTTGGGGGTCACCACAGCATTTAAGAAGTGCATTAAGGGGTTGCGGCATTAGGAAGGTTGAGAACCATTGACCTAGAAAATGCAAAGTGAGAATGTGTTTTTTCAGTCCTATGTTCATGAAGTTGTGGTTACCAGTCCCACAGACATATGCTTGCAGATCTAATTTGTATCCATATCAGCATGTATTTGCAAATGTCCATTAGAACATCAGTCTCCCTCTTTTGCAGGGTGTTGTGTGCGCTCATTTTGATTGGGCTGATCACCTGGCTGGTTCTTGACATGTCCCAGAGGCGAGAGCAGTTGGTCTCCCTGGCAGGGTTTGCTGTGCTGGTCCTGATACTCTTTGCCTGCTCCAAGCACCACAGAGATGTAAGCATTTCCTTTCTCTTGGACCTTTTGATAGGAAGAAGACTGGAAGAATCACGAGTCTTCTCCTCTTTCCACTTCTTCTACCATTCCTCTTGTCGTTTTGTCTCTGCCTGCATTGCAATTCATAAAGACTTCAGTCCTATTTCTACTTCTCTGAGAGTTAATCTTACAGAATATAGTAGGGCTTATTTTGGGATCAGCATATATACAATCATGCTGATATCCTAACTCAAATGCGGTTGATAAAATTTGCCAACTGAGCAAGAAATTATAAGAAGGGTTGATTGATTTGATTTTATATTGTTGTTGCAGGCCTTCAAGTTACCTTTTTTTTTTTTACTCATGGTGACCCTATCACATAGTTATCTTGGCAATATATTGCCTGTAATAATTGTATTAGAGAAATGTTTTTAAATATGTTTATTTCTTATTGTAAATTTGTTTTTATAGGTCTTTTTTTACATATACATATTGTTTTGTATTGTCTTTTATATAATGTTGTAAGCCGCGTTGGATCCCATTTAGGGATAATAATAATCATTATTATTATTATTATTATTATTATTACTATTATTATTATTATTATTATTATTTGAAACACAACAAGATGAGTCCACAGCAAACAAGATCACTCTGCTGGCAGGTGTATCACTCTGCTGGCAGGTGGATCACACGTCGGACACTTCCCAAGTGTCTAGGACTGTGTGATGTATCGACGAATAATGCATGCAGATTCCAATAAGGTGGCCTTCTGTAGCTGGCAGCTGGTAATCTTGTCAGCGCCAATTGTTTTTAAGTACAGGTCAAGGTCTTTAGGCACTGTACCCAGTGTGCCAATCACCACTGGGACAACCTTGACTGGCTTGTGCCAGAGTCTTTGCAGTTCGATCTTTAAATCCTCATATCCAGGTTCCAGGACAGGAAACAACCTAGGTAATAGATCCAGGGAAGTCATGCTACCCCTCTATTCTGCCTTGGTTAGACCACACCTGGAATCACATTGTGTCCAATTCTGGGAACCTTAATTGAAGCGAGATGTTGACTCTAAGCTGGAATGTGTCCAGAGGAGGGCAACTAAAATGATCAAGGGTCTGGAGAACAAGCCCTATGAGAAGCGGCTTAAAGAACTGGGCATGTTTAGCCTGAACAAGAGAAGGCTGAGAGGAGACATGATGAAGGCCATGTATAAATATGTGAGAGGAAATCATAGGGAGGAGGGAGCAAGCTTGTTTTCTGCTGCCCTGGAGACTAGGATGCAATGGAACAATGGCATCAAACTACAAGAAAGGAGACTCCATCTGAACATGAGGAAGAACTTCCTGACTGTGAGAGTTGTTCAGCAGTTGAACTCTTTGCTGTGGTGTATGGTGGAGGCTCCTTCTTTGGAGGCTTTTAAACAGAGGCTGGACGGCAATCTGTCAGGAATGCTTTGAATGCGATTTTCCTGCTTCTTGGCAGAATGGGGTTGGACTCGATGGCCCACCAGGTCTCTTCCAGCTCTATGATTCTATGATTATGCATTGCATAAGCAAGTAACAACATTAAAAGAACTGTGCTCATTCAGAGCAATGTATGATCTCATCCACTATCTTGCTCAGGCCACGGCCAATCAAACCCAACATTTATGGAGAAGCAGCACCCCTCCCCTTTTCTTCAACAGCAACCAACAATGTTTTGTCTTCTGTATTAATGGAGCTACGAAGCTGCTTCATGCTTGAACTTGAACCTTAAAGAAGCTATCCAAGGTGCTGAAGTCTAGCCTCGAAATTAAAATATAAGTTCAGCACTTTGAATAGCTGCTTTCAAATTGTGATTTACCACTTCACTACCATGGGACTGCCACTATTAGCAACAGATGTCAATGATATGTTGTCTCTAGTCTTGGAGAATAGGATTTGAATTCCAACTCAGCTATACAACCCCTTGGTTGACCCTGGGCAAGTCACACTGTGTCATCCTCAGAGGAAGACAATGGTAAGAAATAATAATAATAATAATAATAATAATAATAATAATAACAATAATCTTTATTTATACCCCGCCACCATCTTCCCAATAGGGACTCGGAGCGGCTTACATGGAGCCAAGCCCGGACAACATATTATAACAAGATAAAACCAGAGCATAAACAATAAACAATATCATCAAATTACAGAAAGGAAAAGAAAAAAGAGAAAAAAAATAAACAGTTATAAAATAACATTCCAGTAAGCACAATCACAATAACAATGGGCGGGCCACATGTACAGGATAAAAACGATTCAAAGACTCTAATGAGATAAAAATAGGAGCAAGTTATCTGCAAGGAACTCATAAAAACACACAGAGTTGAGAAGCTAAACTTCCCATTTGGAGGGCGTGTATTCCAGTGGGAAGAGCGTTCAGGGGTGCAATGGTGTCATATGTCGCCAAAGGCGCAGCGGAAGAGCCAGGTTTTAAGGTTCTTTTTGAACGTTTCTAGAGAAGGGGCTTTCCTAATCTCTCCAGGTAATGAGTTCCAAAGTCAGGGAGCCACAGAGAAGAACGCTCTCTCCCTTGTGCCCACAAGACAAGCTTGTGAGATTGATAGGAGTGAAAGGAGGGCCTCCCCCGAAGATCTAAGGGCCCGGGTTGGTACGTGGAGAGAGATACGGTCATGAAAGTAGGCGGGTCCCAAACCGTTTAGGGCTTTGTAGGTGATAACCTGTACCTTGAATTGGGACTGGAAAATAAACGGCAGCCAGTGGAGCTCCTTAAACATGGAAGTCGACCGCTCCTATAACTAACCCCAGTTATTAATCTGGCTGCCGAACGTTGGACAAGAAAGCCCATGACATAGTTGTCTTAGGACTTGGCCATGGTGGTCCATGCTCTTGTTACATCCCAAATAGACTACTTCAATGTGCTCTACGTAGGGTTGCCCTTGAAGACAGTTTGGAAGCTCTCAGTGGTCCAATGGGTGGAAGCCAGATTTCTCACCAGAGTGGCGTTCACAGAACATACAACCCCCCTGTTGTGTCAGCTCCACTGGGTGCCAGTCTGCTACCAAGCACAATTCAATAGCCTATAAAGCCCTAAACGCTTCTAGCCCAGCTTACCTGTCTAAACATATCTCCCCCCATGAACCAACTTGGAGGTTAAGATGGTTTTGGGGAGGCTCTGCTCTCGGTCCCACCTCCTTCACAGGTGCAGTTGATGGGGATGAGGGACAGGGCCTTCTCAGTGGTGGCCCCTCAGCTATGAAACTCCCTCCCCAGCAAAATCAGGCCAGCTCCCTCCCTCCTGACCTTCAGAAAGCATTTAAAAACATGGCTTTGGATACAAGCCTTTGGCCAATAGTGCAGTGCAATAAGTGATAATGGAAAATGTGCAATGACAATTGGAATGGCTTTTTGACCACGATCTTGGGTTGTGTGGTTTTAATAACATGTTTTGATCTTTATAAGTTTTTTAAATTCACGTTTTAATGTATATGTTTATTCTATGTCTGTCATGTATATGCATCAAATTGTTGCCTTTTGTAAGGCCGCCCTGAGTCCCCTTTGGGATTGAGAAGGGCAGGGTATAAATACTGTAAATAAATAAATGGGATCACTATAAATTTAAAACACACACTAACAACAGCAGCAACAATTGTACATACTAACAATGAACATACTGGTAGGATAATTCTGGAAATTGTAGCTCAGACTCCATTGCCTCTTGTATATACATTGGATTTGTAGGTGTCTTGGAGAGCTGTGTTTTGGGGGCTTGGCCTGCAGTTTCTTCTTGGAGTCTTTATCATCCGGACAGAGCCTGGATTTCAAGCTTTTGACTGGCTTGGTGGACAAGTGCAGGTATGGAACTTGGTGGGGGAGAAAGGCTGGAGTCTGTGGCAGAGCTCATGCTCTGTATGCAGAAGGTCCTAGGTCCAGTCTCAAGACATATCCACGTAAAAGACCTCAGGGGAACTCTTGATTTAGATCATGTTGATTTATTGAGCCAGTGGTCTGATTGAAAAATATGTCTTTAAAGCATTTGCTGAATGTCTTTGAATATTCTTTCCACCTGGAGTGGTGAGTTTTATTACCACTCCTCTTATAGCTGCTCTGGGATCTGCAGCAGATGTCCTTGTGCTGAATCCTATTCCCACCAGAAATTCAGCACTGGAGTATGGAGAGGAATGGCCAAGGATGGTTTTGTTCTCCTATTGAAATTTCTATTTATGGACAACAGCACTAGGAATTCCCGAGCCTGCATGACCAGTGGCTTTAGTAGCTTGCGGGGTTCTAGGAGCCGTAATCCAAAGAAGCAATTTTTCTGGACTGTTTTGCAGCCATTATGCTTGAATGCATCCTTTCAGGATCTTTTTTTGATCTAATCAGGAAAAGAAAGACTCACCCAGATTCCTTCTTCCTGCCTTCTTCTTCCTTGCAGACTTTCCTGAACTACACCATTGCTGGTTCCAGCTTCATGTTTGGTGACAAATTGATCCATGAAGCATTTGCCTTTCAGGTGAGCTTTAAGAGTATTTTATGCACACATACACTCAGCTGCCTTTCACTGGTCTCATCTTCCTCTTGGTTGGTTACCTTGAAAGGAAAGCTTTCCTTGACCCAGCTGGGGTGGCATTCAACTTCCTAGAGCTGCAGGAGCCTGAACAAAAGGCTCCGTGACAGTACTTTGTGTATATATTTCAGATTTCAATATTAATGTCAAAAATACATAGTATGATTTTATGTAGGATTTGTGCTACATTAGAACAATAAAGACAAATATTACTTAAATAAAATAAACATTAAATATTAAATAACCAGAAAATTAAAATAAGGTGTTAACACTAAACTAATCTGGGAATCTGCTATTGCAACACATCCAATAAAGTAGTTTAAAATCAGTATAAAAAAGATTAGGGCTTTGGGCCAAATGCCATATTGTCCCTTGCAGTTTATGTCAGATTTCATACATACATACATACATACATACATACATACCTATCTATACATACATACACACACACACACGTATATGTGTGTGTGTGTGTGTGTGTGTGTGTGTGTGTGTCATCTCCTTTCTCCTATGTGATTCTGGCATCCACCTCAACATGTGTTGCTGTATATTATGTGCCATTAAGCTGGTATTGACTTGTGGCAGTCCTATGAAGGAGAGCTCTCCAATAAGCCCTCTTATTAACACCATTCCTCGGGTCTCAAAAATTCAAGACTGGGATTTCCTTAGTTGAGACAATGCACCTGGCATGTGGCCTTTCTCTTCAACTGTTTGTGTGCATGCCTTCAAATTGCCTCTCAGTTTATGGTGACCTCGTGAATGTTATAGGGTTTTCTTCAGCAAGGAATACTCAGAAGTGGTTTCGAAGGGAGAAGAGCTGAGCAAGTATGAAATGATGGTGTTATAGGGAAAGAGGCATGGTCCTTTGTGGAAGCTTCAAGCCCAAGCCCTGCAGTTGCATCTTTTGCTCTTACATCGAGCAACATTGTGAGTTCTTGGGTGACACTTGCTAAAGGCTAACGTATTCCATGTTGTTCTGTGTCCAGACACTGCCCATCGTTGTCTTCTTCAGCTGTGTGATGTCTATACTCTACTATTTGAGGGTCATGCAGTTCCTCATCCTGAAGGTAATGCACTGGATTAAGCTCTAGAAACTAAAAGAGGGGTCATTAAGACTCTATTATGGAACAGACATCTATCTTTTATCTGTGCAAATTGTGATTCCTGTATCATTCAGGTTCTTTCTGTTTGGAATACCTGTATCTGCATGTGCATAGTGAATGAGGAATTAGGTAAAAGAGAGTTAGTCAGTCTATACTTTGATCCAGGGACTCTGTGGGAGCCAGTGTCTTGGAGGAAGGATCCCAACCAGCTATTGTAACCAAGCCATAGAACCCTAGGCATTCACCAGGTTGCTTATAGAATCATAGAATCGTAGTGTTGGAAGAGACTTCATGGGCCATCCAGTCCAACCCCTTTTTGCCAAGAAGCAGGAAAATTGCATTCAATGCACCCCCAACAGATGGGCATCCAGCCTGCTTCAAAGCTTCCAAAGAAGGAGCCTCCACCACACTCCGGGGCAGAGAGTTCCACTGCTGAACAGCTCTAGAATTATAGAATCCTAGAGTTGGAAGACCTTGTGGGCCATCTAGTCCAACCCCATTCTGCCAAGAAGCAGGAAAATCACATTCAAAACACCCCAACAGATCACCAACCAGCCTCTGTTTCAAAGCTTCCAAAGAAGGAGCCTTCGCCCCACTCTGGGGCAGAGAGTTCCACTGCTGAACGGCTCTCACAGTCAGGAAGTTCTTCCTAATGTTCAGATGGAATCTCCTTTCTTGTAGTTTAAAGCCATTGTTCCTCATCCTAGTCTCCAGAGCAGCAGATAACAAGCTTGCTCCCTCCTCCCTGTGACTTCCTCTCATGTATTTATCCATGGCCCTCATCATGTCTCTTCTCAGTCTTCTCCTTTTCAGCTCAAGCTGCTCCTCATAGGGCTTGTTCTCCAGACTCTTCATCCTTTTAGTTGCCCTCCTCTGGACACATTACAGTTTGTCAATATATCCCTTCAATTGTGGTGCCCAGAATTGGACACAGTATTCAAGGTGTGATCTGATCAAGGCAGAATAGAGCATGGGGAGCATGACTTCCCTGGATCTAGACACTTGTTGCCCTCCAGCTGGCGCTAGTTCTCAGGAGAAAGGTTCACTATTACCCACAGTTTTATGTGTCCACATGAAGTCCTTGACCAATGGTTCTCAACCTGTGGCTCCCTAGGTATTTTGGCCTACAGCTCCCAGAAATCCCAGCCAGTTTGCAAGCAGTTAGGATTTCTGGGAGTTGAAGGCCAAAACATCAGGGGACCCACAGGTTGAGAACCACTGTTGTAGGCTATATCCCCCATGGATACGGGGGCCATACTATATCATTAGACACACACATTAGACACACATCCCTCCCGGGTCTCAACACACCAGTTCATAAAGGTGAATATGGTCCTTCAAAGAAGGTCATAACCAGCACTTTGAGTTATAGCTGGAAATGGACAGGCAATCAGTGGAGCGGTTGCAATTTAAGCCATCGCAACTTGAGAGGGCGCTTGAGAGTGGTAACTATATTAAGTTCTTTTTTGCAAGCAATGTTCCAGTCTTTGCTCCAACTGACCATCTCTGATTCATTCTTACAGCTGTCCTGGCTCTTACAACTCACCATGGGTACAGCGGCTACAGAAACCCTGAGTGTGGTGGGCAACATATTCGTCGGGATGGTAAGCTGGTATCTGCTCCAAAGCATGGGGAAATTGTTGTTATTTTGGACTGCAATTTCCCAAATGCTTCAGCCAACATGGCCAGAAGCTTTAATTGTAGTCCTGCTTGGGTGTTTTATTCTTTGGCTATGCATTGGTTTGTGTGTGCAAGGGATACAAAATCATTCCAAGCATGGGATGGAAACATCATGGTTTTCTTATAGTTGCTGATTTTGTCAAAGTTTTGGAATTTCAGCTACAATCTTGTGGTCTTATCTGGAACAGGAGTAAGTCCATAGAGCCATTGCACTGGACGACACCCCCCTCCCCCCGCTCCCTACACCCTTCCTCTCTGACCAATTGTTTGAGCCTTCCTTTTGCTTTCAGACAGAAGCTCCGCTGCTCATTCGCCCGTACCTGAAAGACATGACCAAGTCAGAAGTTCATGCAGTGATGACGGGAGGCTTTGCCACGATTGCCGGCAGTGTGATGGGAGCATATATATCATTTGGAGTGAGTACTAGGAACTATACTTTTTCAATATTGGCCGGTGGAGTAAAGTAACAAGATGAAATACCAGTGTAATGTAATATGGAGCAATGGTTTAGAAGCATGCCTACTCTTTCTACTGCAAGGTGCTTCCATATGTGCAACAGTCCTGTGTATGCATCACTGTTGATGCTTCCAAAAGCTGGACACCAAGGTATTGCTTTTATCTTATTTTATGGATTTTGTTGATTGATGTTTTATTATGGTTTTACCTTTTTATGTATTTCTGTTTGATGGATTTTATATGTTGGCATGCTGTAAGCCACCTTGGGTCCTCGTTGCGGAGAAAGACAGGGCAGAAATACCCTAAATAAATAAATAATATGACTGTTATGCATTGTCCAAAAAAAATCGCAAGTTCAAAATTCAAAAAAGAGAAAAAACCATTATGATAGAAATATCCAACGTGTGAAATATATATTTTTATCAAGAACTGATATTATTATTATTATTATTATTATTATTATTATTATTATGAAATTGAGTACTCAGAGGACATTGGGAAGTCAAGTTTTTTTGTTTTTTTCTTTTTCTTTCCTCTTTTTGTCTTCTCTCTTTCTTTTTAACTTTCACCTCATCACTTCACCTCTCTGTCTACGATTTGAAGACATGACTTTCTTCACTTTTGCTGTAAAAATTATTAAAATGCACAATAAAAATTTATTACAAAAAAAAATCACAAGTGCACATGTGAAACACTAACTTGATGCTGGCCTCTTTGCTCTTTACATTTGCAGGTCTAACATTTGCAGATTTGATTATTCTTGAATTAATGACTCCATAATCAGTTTTCTCCAGAAGTTGACTATAGAGTTGCATAGGAGGACCTCGAGATTCCTAGAAATAAAAATCTTCCAGGCATTTGTAGACCCTGCAGTGTGATTCTATGGTCCACCTCTGGCAGTTGCCCTTTCAATCACTCTGAAGGACTTGAGATTCCTGTTTTCTCCATTGAAAAAAGCGAGCCCTCACACAGTCCCCCTTTCGTAGGGACCTGAAAACCTGGATGTTCCGGCAGGTTTTCGAGAATTATTAGTCCCTAGGCCCAAGCCTTAGGTCAGTTAGTACTCTGGTCTGCACTTCCTCCACTTGCCCGGCCCTATGATATGCTGTTGCACTATCCCTTGCCCAGCCTTTCTGTAGTGGACTTGCCCATTTTGTAGTCCTGGCCATAGGTTTTGTTGAACCTCATCTGATGGATTTATAATTGCAATCGGTTTAAATTTTTATTGTTGTGTTTTAGCAGGATTTTGTGTTTTATAATTTTTTAATTTAATTTTTAAATGATTTCTTTCTTGGCAATTGAATGTTTTGCCTTATATGTTGGAAACTACCCTGAGTCCCTTCGGGGAGATAGGGCGGTATACAAATAAAGTATTATTATTGTTGTTTTTGTTGTTCTTATTTTACTGACACAAAACCACAGCATGACACAGCAAACAAGATGTATATGCCGGATTTCGTATCACAGATTCACAAGTTGAACACTTCCCAAGCGTTTAGGTTGTTGTTGTTTATTCGTTTAGTTGCTTCCGACTCTTTGTGACCTCATGGACCAGCCCATGCTAGAGATCCCTGTTGGCCGTGGCCACCCCCAGCTCCTTCAAGGTCAAGGCAGTCACTTCAAAGATACCATCCCTCCATCTTGCCCTTGGTCGGCCCCTTTTCCTTTTTCCTTCCATTTTCCCCAGCATCGTTTTCTCTAAGCTTTCGTGTCTCCTCATTATGTGGCCAAATACTTCAACTTTGTCTCTAATATCCTTCCCTCCCAAAGCGTTTAGAACTGTGTGGTATATGTTGTTGTTATTTGCCCACAGTTTTCCACTTCCACAAGGGGTCTGCATCCATAACTTTGCTGAATGTAAGGGGCTGTGTTCTTCTACTGCAGATTGACCCTTCCTCCTTGATTGCTGCTTCAGTGATGGCAGCCCCATGTGCTTTAGCAATGGCTAAACTTGTCTATCCAGAAGTGGAAGAGTCCAAGTTTCGGAATCGGGAAGGTGTGAAAATTGCTGCTGGGTGAGTGCTATTGGAAACCCTGAGACTCAAACCCCATTGAGAGTAAAATTTGTTAGGTAAAGCAAGTCAGCTGGTAGTAAAAAGTATAGGGAGCAATGACACTCCTCCTAACAGCTCTTTTTCCACGAGGGCTGTGCTGGCATGGTTGTGCCCGGAGATTTGATTCTTTTTCTTGCACTGTTGGTTTGAATTCATTTGGGCCATGCATTTTGCAATTGGGTAGCTTTCCCCAGGTTGCAGTCATAGGGTCAACAACCTATCAATCATCATGAACCTTTAGATCCGCCCCTTTCCCCAGGTTTTGGAGGGAAAGGGGGACTTTTAGTTCAGTCTCACAATTTGGAGCCTTACAGTAGGACGTGTGGCCTTTTCTCTGTCCCACTTGCAAAAAGCTTCACTTCTTACAGCTTTTGCTGGGGAAAAAGGAAAACCTCTACAGCTTTGCTGGGGAGTAAAGTTACAGTTCCACAGCTTTGCTGGGGGAATATAGCCAGCTTTTCTGGAAAATAAAGGAATGGTTCCACGGCCTTCGTGGGGCAAATCTACAGGACACCAGTTTGGCAGATCTACAGCAACCATTGCCTGGTAAGGGACCACTCGGGCTATCCATAACGCAGCTTGGAGCCGCGACTTGGGGCCTCACGCCAGCAGGGTTAAGAAAGATTGCCCAAGGAGGGGTCGGAAGATTTTCCTAAAGAAGAAAGGAACAGTTTATCAAGCAGTTGCCTGTCACTTGTTGGCAGATCGAGAAAGTTACTAGTTTTTCAAGATTATAAAGCATTTAATTCGTTTGTTCGAAGATTTAAGCCTTAATAAAGAACTTTGTTGAACCTATTTTGAGCCTCTACAGAACTTTGTGTTAGGAAATCTATGGTACCCTTTAGCTGAGGCAGCCCGGCGTCCCGTTGGGCATACAGAAAGCACGTCCTGTAAACAGACATTGTCATAGGCCCAGCACGCGACAGCACAAGGACAAAGCTGTATAATCCATACAGCCTGGTCCTGAACCCCCAAATCTGCTCTCCAGGTGTGGCTGAGGACCTCTTCTTACTGTCACTGCTGAAGGGATTTTGGTTCAGCCAGCTTCTGTAGATGGAAAGGAGGAGATGAGTGCCAACTTGTCCTTGGCTCCAAGCAGCAAAATATTTTGGACTGGTTCTGTATGGCATGTCTTTCCTCTGAGGGAAACTATCCAACTTAAATATTACTGCCAGTCCAGTTGAATTCTGTATATGGATTAGGAGGAGATAAACACAACAGAAGTCAGATTTCTTTGTCTTTAAGCAAAAATTAAGAAGTCAGTGAGCTTTGTTTCACTGATAACTTGGGAGGCATGTTTTACGATGAGGCAAAGTCCAACTCAGGCGCTGGTATGCTTTAGTGCAGGGTTCCCAAGCTTGAGTCCTCCAAGGGATTTGGACTTCAACTCCCAAGTGCCTCAGACAGCAGGGCCAACAGTCAGGAATTCTGGGAGATGAAGTCCAAAACCTCTGCAAGAGTAACATTTGGGAATCACTGCCTTAGTTTATAAATCAACCATGTAAAACAAATACGGTTTCACTTTCAAAATAACTTTCCTTTTCAAAATGATATCAACTTTGGCACCAGGTTCTAGAAACGTCTTTCAGTATTCTCTTCCTTTTGTATGTTGCCACAGGGAAGAGAAGAATGTTCTGGAAGCTGCTGGAAACGGAGCCAGTGTCTCTGTGGGGCTGGTTGCAAATATCGCAGCCAACCTCATTGCCTTCCTGGCAGTGCTTGAGTTCATCAATGCCACCCTGTCTTGGCTGGGGAGCATGGTCAACCTGCCAGAACTCTCCTTCCAGGTATCCTTCATAAGGCCACCACCCTCATTGAGAAAACACTGGAGTCCTCATCATCATGCTGTACTGTTATATTCCATGTTAACTCGCATGGCAACATTCTGTAGGATTTGTAGTTTAGCAAGGACCCAGAACTCTCCGACTGACAATTTGCAAGATGGAAATCAAAGCAGATGAGTTGGTGTGGATGAAGTTAGCAGTGGTTATGCTTCTATGATTCTGGATGCCAATGAGATAGATGAGGAAATGGGCAGTAGTCACAAAGTGGTTACAGACTTGCCCTGAGAGGTTATTAACCACCTGTTCTTCTTGCTTGCAGCTGATCTGCTCCTATGTCCTGGTTCCTTTAGCCTTCTTGTTAGGAGCAAGCTGGGAGGATGCACCCCTGGTTGCTGAGTTGCTGGGAACCAAGATCTTCTTAAATGAGTTTGTTGCCTATCAGCAACTTTCAACCATCAGGCAGAAGCGACTGGCTGGGCTGTCAGAATGGAATGGGAATCACAAGCAATGGATTTCTGCAAGTATCGCCTGATCAGTGTATTGGTGATGTGATCCTGAATCAGCTACGAGTTGTAGCTAGGGGAGTCTCCTGTTCATCCCTTCACCCACCTTTTCTCAGCCGCAGCCTCCCAAACCTGGCCATGGCTGGTGGAGAGCAGAGTAGAAACAGCCAAGTTCCATCCAGCTCTTTCCTGTAACTGGACATGCAATGTCATTAATCTGTCAGCCTGTCAGCTCCTCCTATTTTTCACCAACTGGGAAATTGCCAGATTTGGGGGCCTATGGCTAAGAAAATAGGAGTCAGCAGGATGAAGTAATTTGAATTTTGGACTAGTGCAGTGGTTCCCAGTCTGTGGTCCGTGGACCACCAGTGGTCCGCAAGAACTAAAATATGGTCCGCAGCCTCACCATTTTTACACCACTGTAACAAGAGCAACTGGTCTTGCAAAACCCTCTTATAGTGTCAAGGTTTTGTGACAAGCCTCCTAACTGCTGCTGCTCCTCTTCCTCCCTCTCCCTGAGCAGAGCCGTTCCATGTGGCGCCTGGAAGTGGGGGCGCCTTGGTGTCTTCGTTTTTAGGCCTGTTCTTGGGGTTATTTGGGGCGCTGATTCAGAAAACTGCATTGAATAGACTACATATACTCTAGATTATTAAATATGGTTTTCTGTGGGCGAGCAGATGGCGACTACTGGATGGCATATGTTCTGTATTAGAAACTAGAGCTGATGTGGTCCACCCAATGCAATTTTATGAATCAGCACCCCAAATAACCAAACCAAATCTAAAGCTGACCAAAAACTGATTCGTAACCCTTTTGGTACTAATGTTGGCGAGTTGTCCCTGGTCAAAGTGGTCCCTGGTCAAGTGATCCGGGGAGCAGCGTGAACTTCTGCTGTTAGCCCCAGCTTCTGCCAACCTAGCAGTGTGAGAACATGCAAATGTGAGTAGATCAATAGGTACGGCTCCATGCAGTCATGCCACCTACATGACCTTGGAGGTGTCTACAGACACCAGCTCTTCGGCTTAGAAATGGAGATGAGCACCAACCCCCAGCGTCAGACACGACTGGACTTAATATCTGGAGGGAGCCCTGGTCAAAAAAAGATTGGAACTGGACATCCAGTTATTATTCTGTGTCTGGCTGCCTGTCAACTGCTTCTCCTATTTTTCATCAACTGGCAAATGGCCAGATTTGGGGGGCTTTAGCTAAGAAAATGGGAGTCAGCATGATGTAGTAGTTTGAGTGTTGGACTACAGCAGTGGTTCCCAACCTGTGGGCTTCAGCCCACTGGGGGTCCAAAAGACCTAAAATAAGGTCCGCGGCTCTAGATTATTAAATATGGTTTTCTGTGGGCAAGCAGATGGCGACTACTGGATGGGATATGTTCTGTATCAGAAACTAGAATTGATGTGGTCTATCCAATGCAATTTTCTGAATGAGCACCCCAAATAAACAAACTGAATCTAAAGTTGACCAAAAACTGATTTGTAGCCCTTTTGGTACTAATGTTGGAGAGTGGTCCCTGGTCAAAAAAAGGTTGGGAACCACTAGACTAGAGGATATTAGTGGTCAAATCCTCTCTCAGTAATTAAAAAAACACTGAATGACTGGGTAAGTTCCCCAGAACCAGATCCAATATGAACATGCATTTTGCATGTGCTTGACATTGGCTGTTGCCCAGCTCTAGACTGGATCACCCTTTGTCAACTATTCCACCACCAGGCTGCATAATAGGGAGGAAGTTATGTGAGCATGTCCCATTACATACTTGGAGAATTCCTGGCGTTCAGTTTCCAGAATCCCCGATCTGTGTGGCCAATGGCAAGGGATTGTGGAAAATGAAGTCCAAAACCCTGTACGGCCAAAAATCCTGTCTCCACACCTAATCGTATTGTTTTCAAACTTCGGAAAGTATGTTTGAGGAATGGTTATATTCCCAAAAATTCTTAGATCATTTCATTCCACCCAGATAATATACCTGAGGCTTGTAAAATCCACTTTTTTGCAGAGATAATAGACATTCCCCAGACATTTCTCTTGAATCCAGTTTGTAGTAAAACCAATATTTATTCAGGAAAGTCTTGAAGTAATATAGATTAACGGACACTTCTAAAAGCAACAATGATAAGAAAGCAGTTTCCAGGAGACGAGTGTTTAAACTTCTCCTTTCAGTTCACAAGGGTTATCTCTAAGTCTCAGATTTTAGGTGTGCATCTTAAAACTGATTCCTTCCTTCCATAAATCATACACTTTCTGGAGTCCTTCTGCTCAGCAGGCATGTTGGCAGAAGGATTTTGCAACATATAACTTTTCAAGCTCTTTCCTGGCATGCTTGTCTTACTCAAACTTCCCTGCTGTGTGCATTGGGAAGAGAGGCAACAGAGGGAGGGACGGAGAGAAGGAAGGAAGGAGAGATCTGCTATTGCGGGAATAGGTGGAGATGGTTGTTCTCTGCTGTTATCACTGCCCTGATTGCCTTGTTTCTCTTACTCTGCAGGTCAGAGCCGAAACCATCACAACCTTTGCTCTGTGCGGATTTGCCAATCTGAGTTCCATCGGGATAATGATGGGTGGCTTGGGTGAGTTGGCAGGCCTTGAGGCTGGGAGGAAGCATGAGCTCAGGGGAAATACCTTTGTGCCATGCAAAGTCAAAGTGGTTTCCTTCCAGGTCCAGAATTCAGCAAGGTTGGCCCGACCATTCAGCAGGCGGTGGCAACCACAATAAATATTAGGAGCAATAGTGGCAACTGCCTAGGCCTTTTGCTTAAGGCAGAAGTGATACCCCCTCAAACTGTGACGGAAGACTTCTAAGCCATCTCCCCTGTTGAACAAAGATCCAATTGACTGTCCAGTCGGTTTCTGTACATGCAGGAGAGGAGAAGCCAACTTGCCCTTTTTCTCAGACAGCACAATGTCTAAAATTTTATTTATTTATTTAAAACATTTCTATTCCACCCTTCTCACCCTGAAGGGGACTCAGGACGGAGCACAGCATATATACGGCAAATATTCAATGCCGGGACAAGAATTCATATACGCATACATAAACATATTAAAATATGCCATTTAAAACAGTCTTGGTCATTTGTGTCAAATCCAATTGGCCTGGTAATCTTTCCTATTGCTGCTTTATTGCCCTGTCCCGAAAGCTTGGTCCCACAGCCAAGTTTTGACCATCCTTCTGAAGGACAGGAGAGAGAGAAGGGGCTGACCTGATCTCACCAGGAAAGGAGTTCCATAGCCAGGGCAATCACCAAGAAGGCCCTGTCTCTCATCCCCACCAGTCGCGCCTGTGACAATGGCCAGATGGAGAGCAGGGCTTCCCCAGAGGATCTTAATCTCTGTGATGGTTCATGGGGGGAGATGCGTTCAGACAGGTAAATTGGGCTGGGGCTGTTTTGGGCTTTATAGGCCAAAGCCGGCACTTTGAATTGACAGCCAATGGAGCTGACGTAATATGGGAGTTGTATGCTCCCTGTATGCCACCCCAGTTATTAACCTGGCTGTCTCTCGTTGGACTATTTGAAGCTTCTGAGCAGTCTTCAAAGGCAGCCCCACGTAGAGTGCGCTGCAGTAGTCTATCCCGGATGTAACGGGAGCGTGGACCACCGTGGCCAAGTCTGACTTCCCAAGGTATGGGCACAGCTGGTGCACAAGTTTTAATTGTGCGAAAGCTCCCCTGGTCACCTTGTAGCTATGTCCTGTGCTTCCCTGTGCTGCCTATGGTCCCATACAGGGCCGGGCTTTAGCACAGCTGGTTAATCACCAACAGAAATAGGTCTTTACCAACCAAAAGGCTGGCAGTTCGAGCCCAGGTCGGGGTGAACACCCGACCTTCAGCCTGGCTTACTGTCTACCTAAGCAGTTCAAAAAGAGCTGTGAGTAGAGAAATTAGGTACCGCTTAAGAGGGGAAGTATTTTACAGCACCATAAAAAGCTAGCAATCAAAGAACAGGATGAAAGCCTGTGATCGAAAGGCTCATCCTCACAGAGGATGGAGCAACAGCACCACCCTGTGGCCAGAATAGAGCATAACCTCCAGGACACCGACATTGGAAAAATGCTGCCACATACCTCTATTTGTTTGTCCGTCCTGTATGTCTATCGGCATTGAAAGTTTGCCATGTATGTGTGCTGTGATCTGCCCTGAGTCCCCTTTGGGGTGAGAAGGGCGGAATATAAATGCTGTAAACAAATAAATGAATAAATAAATATTGACTGAGATTCCCTCATTAAAGAGCCCAAAAAGGTTATTCTTGTGCAAAAGCCCCTTTTCCAAGTTCTACTTATCAGTGACTAGGATGATTGCAAGCATCTGGAAAGATAAGCCTGATAGAAGTCTATAAGGAAATCTACCCCCGAGCACCGTAGCCCTGCTCATCCATCTCTATCCTTTTTTATTCTAAGCATCTATGGCACCCGAGCGCAAAGGTGAATTTTCCAGCATCGTCCTTAGGGCTTTGTTTACCGGGGCCTGTGTCTCCCTACTCAATGCATGCCTTGCAGGTACAGTATGGATGTTTTCTATGGAAAGGGGGGGAGGGGGTGGCGGCAAAGGTTGGAAAGGTTCATGGAAGGATATATCAAGTTTGTTAAGAGGAGCAACAGCAGGTCCTGAGTGGGCCAACCAAGGAGCAAATTGCAAATAGGAAATGGAACTTGGATTTGCCCGGCCCAACCTTCTAGTCACAGGCATTGAGGAAATAAGACTGGTCCATGCAGCAAAGAAGTGTATCCTATAGAGCAGTGTTTCTCAACCTTCATAATTCCATAACACCTTAACACAGTTCCTCGTGTTGTGGTGACCCCCAACTATAACATTGTTTTCGTTGCTACTTCATCACTGTCATTTTGCTACTGTTACGAATCATCATCTAAATATCTGATATGCAGGGTGTATTTTCATTCACTGGACCAAATCTGGCACAAATACTCGATATGCCCAAATTTGAATACTGGTGGATTGGAGGATTGTCATTTGAGAGTTGTACTGGTGGAGTTGGGGAGGGGATTGATTTTGTCATTTGGGAGTTGTAGTTGCTGGGATGTATAGTTTGCCTGCAGTCAAAGAGCATTCTGAACTCTACCAATGATGGGATTAAAGCAAACTTGGCACACAGAAATCCCATGATGACCAACAGAAAACACTGGAAGGGTTTGGTGGACACTGACCTTGAGTTTTGGAGTTGTAGTTTGCCTACATCCAAAGAGCACTGTAGACTCAAACAATGGATCTGGACCAAATTTGGATGAATACTCAATGTGCCCAAATGTGAACACGGGTGGAGTTTGGGGGAAATAGACCTTGACATTTGGGAGTTGTAGTTGCTGAGATTTATAGTTCATCAGCAATCAAAGAGCATTCTGAACTCCACCAATGACAGAATTGGGCCAACCTTTCCACACAGAACCCACTTGATCAACAGAAGATACCGTGTTTTCAGGTGGTCTTTGGTGACCCCTCTGACACCCCCCTCGCGACCCTCACGGGGGTCCCGATGCTCCGGTTGAGAAACGCTGCTATAGAGGTGCTTTCATCCTCCTGTACAGGTTCTTCCTGGAGATAGGAGAACAGGCAAACCTGCTGACCTTTGAGGAGAGATGCACATGCACACACACACATACTGTTTAACAAAATTAGCAAAGTCCTTTTCTGGGAGATCACATGAGAAACTTAAGACATGGAAGGGGATGCAAGGGCCATTGAGTCTGATTTGTTGTCGTGCAGGAACACCCAGCATGCTGCACAGACCACAAAGCTCTACTGGAGGCCATAGGCAGAGTTAATCATGCAGCAGCAGCATGGCCCACAAGCCTAAGTCCAGGCCCACGAAGAAGCACAAATCCCTTGTCTTGTGTACCAGTCCTCCACCCTGCCAGCCTGATGGGAGCAGAACTAGGAAATGCTTCCCAGATTCCCACAGCTGGCATGCCCAAGCTAGTCAAGAGATTTGTAGAGTTCTCGTCCAAATGCGAGACCTTCCAAGCTCTGGGTGTGAGCCTCTTTCACAGCCTCTGCAATCTTTCCCAGGCATCCTCTTCATATCCAGAGAAGCAATTGATTGTCTAGACCTCTTCAGCAAAATTGAATTGAACTCTACAAGCTATCATGTTTATGTTTGCTGCAAAGACTTGTTTACCAGGTGAGTAAGCAGTCTTACTGAGCTCTTGGCTGCGTCAATGTGGGCAATGCCGCCAGAGGGAGCCTGAGGGACATATGGGAGTAGAAGCAAGCCATGGAATGATGTGCTAGCAATCAAATGTGTACTGGTTTATCACATTGGATGCTGTGATAGCCAATAAATATCTAGGATGTGAAGGCAATCTGGCTGCGACATCTGTCACCCCATTGATTGCCAGGGTTGATTCAGCTGATCTGGCTGGCTAGGCGGGTGTCCCCTTCCTCCCTCACCGCGTCCCTCCCGAAGCTGCACGCTCAGTGGAGAGGACGTCCCAGGTATAGGAGTGTCCGAGAATAAATATCTAGAGGTGATGCTTCTGAAGTTCTATGCAGTATCAACTGTTAGTTTTCATATCAGTTCTAAATTTGCTTCAGGTTTACCTTCCTTAAAAGTTTGGACTAAAACCTCACAGCATATTCACATTACTGACATGGGAAACGTCTCAGGTACTTCTTCACTGGCATAAAACCATCATGACTGACTACAGCACAGGCCATGTTCCAGAAGCATTATCTCTTGATGTTTCACCTGCATCTATGGCAGGCATCCTCAGAGGTTGTGAGATTACCTTGAAATTGTCCACATGCTTGTGGATTTCAATGGCTTCTCTGTGTAGTCTGACATGGTCCAGTATTTCTGTTTTCAGATAATATGCTGTGTCCAGGTTGGTTCATCAGGTGCTCTGCTATGGGTGACTTCTCAGGTTGACTTAGTCTGCAGTGCCTTTCATGTTACTTGATTCGTGTTTGGGCAATGCTGCATTGGTGGTCCCTATGTAGATTTGTCCACAGCTTCATGGAGAAGCCACTGAAATCCACAAGCATGTGGATAATTTCAACAGAAAGGAGAAAACCATGAAAATGAACAAAATCTGGCTACCAGTATTTAAAAAACTCTAAATTCAGGAAGTAAAGAAAGAACAACACTCAAAAACAGGGGAATTCCAGACAAGAAACAAGCAGGACCTGCCAATCACTTCCCAACAAAGGTTTCCCCAAGGCAGGAAGCAGCCAAGCCTTGAATCATAGAATCCTAGAGTTGGAAGAGATCCCCATGGGCCATCCAGTCCAACCTCATTCTGCCAAGAAGCAGGAAAATTGCATTCAAAGCAGATGTCCATCCAGTCTCTGCTTAAAAGCTTCCAAAGAAGCAGCCTCCACCACACTCTGGGGCAGAGTTCCACTGCTGAATGGCTCTCACAGTCAGGAAGTTCTTCCTAATGTTCGGATGGAATCTCCTTTCTTGTAGTTTGCAGCCATTGCTCTGCGTCCTAGTCTCCAGGGCAGCAGAAAACAAGCCTGCTCTCTCATCTCTATGATTTCCTTTTACGTATTTATATATGGCTATCATGTCTCCTCTCAGCCTTCTCTTCTTCAGGCTAAACATGCCCAGCTCTTTAACCCACTCCTCATAGGACTTGTTCTCCAGGCCCTTGATCATTTGAGTCGCCCTCCTCTGGACACATTCCAGCTTGTCAATATCTCTCTTGAATTGTGGTGCCCAGAATTGGACACAATATTCCAGGTGTGGTCTAACCAAGGCAGAATAGAGCATGGGGAGCATAACTTCCCTGGAACTAGGCACTAGACTCCTATTAGCTGCAAGGCTATTCAGTGCTAATCAAGGTGATCAATTGCAGCATTCACACTTGCCTCCAACAGACAAGAGTTTTTTCTCCCACCCTGGACATTATTCCACAGATATAAAAACCCCACTTGTCTTGTTTCTAACAAACCTCACAACCTCTGAGGATGCCTACCATAGATGTGGGCGAAATGTCAGGAGAGAATGCTTCCAGAACATGGCCATACAGCCCAGAAAACTCACAGCAACCCATCCTCTGAAATTCTTGCTTTGTAAAAATGAGAAAGGACACTAGATGGCACCAACGTTCCTAAAAATAACTTTTACACTCGCTTTGGAATCTACCAAGAGGTAGAAAGTTTCTGGAGAGTTATTGGCACTACAGCACCAGAATTCTGCCGCCACTATGGCTACTGGTCTTATGACTGGAAGATTCTGGTAACTGTAGCCTAAACATGTTTCATAGGGGTAGTAAGCAAAATCGCCCATGCATAGGAGTTTGCGTCCTGAAGAGGACGATGAGTTACATCTTTGAGACCGTTGGTGAATGAATCGATATGCCAAGAATACCAATATCCTTTGTTGAGGCAAAAAGTGGTATGGCATAGTCAGGAATATGCGACATTGGTGTCCAGAGACAATGGTGCTTGCTGCCATCACTTTCTTGTATTTTCCTTTTTCACAGCACTTCTACACCAACCAACGGATCCCATTCTTTCTCTGGCGTTTGGGAAAGTGTGGATTTCAATACCTCACTCACTTATCTCCAAAAGTGCTGCGGACACTACAATGGCACAGCCTGCACTTAACAAACTGTTATTGCCACAGAAGGAGTAACTCCTGTGCAAGAAGCTGCTTCACCTGAATGATGGAGAATCTACCAAGTGTAATGTGGATTCAGCAAGGACAAAACCCCATCTTCAACACTAATAGCAAAGAGCAACAGCCTGTTTCCAAGAATTGAAGACACCAAGCAAATCCTTTCTAACTGGAACCATCAAAGCAACTATTGTGGTTCACTTACCTTGGTTTTGAGATACAAAAAAATCCAAATGGATAGGGACTTCCCTTGTTTCCAGATGAGCCCTACATTCCTTTTCACTCTTGAATCAACCAGAAGGAAGGGCTTATTGTCAGGGCTTCAGTTTCTTGATTTATGTTTGCCTCTCCATATTTATATATGTCATAATCAATAGACACAATTCCAGCTGAAAAGCAGAACTGATTACTAGATAAATAGATGTAGAATTAAAGCTTTAGGATGCAACTCATTCACACTTCTCTAAGAGTAAGAGCCAATGACTTCACATGGACTTAACATCTGATTAAATATGCATGGGACTCCAAAGGTTAGTTATCTGGAAAGAAAGGGGGTCCTAAATCCTATAGCCAAGCCCCACTAGTACTATTGAATCAACTTAGAATCATGGAATCGTAGAGTTTGAAGAGACCAGGTGGGCCATCCAGTCCAACCCCATTCTGCCAAGAAGCAGGAAAATTGCATTCAAAGCACCCCCGACAGATGGCCATCCAGCCTCTGCTTAAAAGCCTCCTAAGTAGGAGCCTCCACCACACTCCAGGGCAGAGAGTTCCACTGCTGAGCAGCTTTCACAGTCAGGAAGTTCTTCCTCATGTTCAGGTGGAATCTCTTTTCTTGTAGTTTGAAGCCATTGCTCCATTGCATCCTAGTCTCCAGGGCAGCAGAAAACAGGCTTGCTCCCTCCTCCCGATGACTTCCGCTCACATATTTATACATGGCCACCATCATCATGTCTCCTCTCAGCCTTCTTTTCTGCATGCTAAATACGCCCAGCTCCTTAGCTGTGGGTTGATTTCAACAGCTGAATGAACAGGTCTGCTGTAGTTGGGACTAACCAATGTATTTCAGCCTAGTGTGATGATCTTAACTTTTTCAGGATGTATACATAAACTTAGGTCTAATTCCCAATCTGCTCTCAACTTTGGAAAGAAGTCAGGTCTCAGGCTGGATCTACACTGCCCTATATCCCAGGAACTTAGAGTTGGAAGAGACCTCGTGGACCATCCAGTCCAACCTCATTCTGCCAAGAAGCAGGAAAATTGCCATTCAAAGCACCCCCAACAGATGGTCATCCAGCCTTCTGCTTAAAACCCTCCAAAGAAGGAACCTCCACCACACTCCGGGGCAGAGAGTTCCACTGCTGAACAGCTCTCACAGTTAGGAAGTTCTTCCTAATGTTCAGATGGAATCTCCTTTCCTGTAGTGTAATCTGAACCCAGTTTATCTGGCAGCAGGGCCATAGCCAGAAAAAAATTTCAGGGAGGGTTGAAAATTGGGGGGGGGGGGGGTTTGAAGATTTCGGGGGGGGGGGGGGTTGAAACCTGCCTCCTAGCTCACGCTGAAGCAAAGAGCACAGCAGGGGGCAGAGCAGCCTTCAATAGCCTGCAGCTCCGCCCCTGTCAACCACCTCCACCAAGTCTGGCCTCCTTAATGAGAGCATTCAACACCCCCCCCCCCCAACTTGGTTGCTTCACTACATCGGCTATTGCTGCAAGTAATGACAGTGTGAATAAATTGTCAATATTTGCTTGAGATAGTGCTTGCAGTTCTGGAGGGACTCTTAATTTTTTGCGTCTCATAGACTTAGCATGGGGATTTGGTTAACCAGTTAAAATTCATGAGTAAACCAGTTTTTTTAACCTGAAAAATTTCGGGGGGGGGGGGGGTGTTACAGGCCTGTCTGGCAGCGTAGAATTATACAATCCAGTTCAAAGCAGATAATATGGGATTAGATCCTGAGATACAGGGCAGTGTAGATCCAGGAAAGTCATGCTCCCCAATGTCTATTCAGCCTTGGTTAGACCACACCTGGAATATTGCGTCCAATTCGGGGCACCACAATTGAACGTCGAGTTGACAAGCTGGAATGTGTCCAGAGGAGGGCAACTAAAATGATCAAGGGTCTGGAGAACAAGCCCTATGAGGAGTGGCTTAAAGAGCTGGGCATGTTTAGTCTGAAGAAGAGAAGGCTGAGAGGAGACATGATAAATCCATAAGGGGAAGCCATAGGGAGGAGGGATCAAACTTGTTTTCTGCTGCCCTGGAGAATAGGACGCAATAGAACAATGGCTTCAAACTACAAGAAAGGAGATTCCATCTTAACATTAGGAAGAACTTCCTGTGAAAGCTGTTCAGCAGTAGAACTCTCTGCCCCAGAGTGTGATAGAGGCTCCTTCTTTGGAAACTTTTAAACAGAGGCTGGATGGCCATCTGTCGGGGGTGCTTTGAATGCAATTTTCCTGCTTCTTGACAGAATAGGGTTGGACTGGATGGCCCATGAGGTCTCTATGATTCTAGATCCAGCCTCAGAAGATGAATGTTAACACCTCAGGTTTTAACAAGCCACTAGCTTTCCATAAGTTGGGCCCTGCCCTGTTCTCTCTATCCTTGACCAGTATGTCACAAATCAAGGTTGCTTCTGTTGCCTCTCTGGTTCCAGAAAACGAACCCCATTCCAGTCATTTCTCTCCAGGAAGCCCATTTTCATCACCAACATTTATGGTCCTCCAAATCTTGCTCGATTGCAACTCCCTCCAAAAGTGGGTATGTTGGCTAGAGCTGACAGGAGCTGGAATGTACCATCAAGAGGACCACACGGATCACCATTCAAGGCTATTTGTCAAAACAGACTGCTCACAGGGATGGCAAGTGGTCTTGTGCTCAGGATTCAGTCCTACAATGTGAAACATCACATGTTTAGATAGCAGCAAATAAGTGTCTATGTTTTGTCGAAGGCTTTCATGGCTGTAATCACTGGGTTGTTGTCAGACCTCACAACCTCTGGGGATGCTTGCCATAGATGCAGGCAAAACGTCAGGAGAGAATGCTTCTAGAACATGGCCATATAGTCCGAAAAACCTACAACAACCAAGTGTCTATGTTCCTGGAAGATGATTCAGACCAGAGCCTTCTACAGCCAGATTTTAACTCCATTCTTAAACCTTTCTGACCACCAAGAACGAATACAAGGCAGGAATATTTATGTCAAATCTCTGGAAACACAATAAATTACACAGGAAATCCTACTTACTAGGGGAAGAGCCAACTCCTGTATTCTTACAAACTCCTTGAAAGGCGCTCAGTATGTGGTTATGATGACGACAATGAACATAAATGAAATCTTCTATTTACTACTAGTGTGGCCATGTGATAAAAGCCAAGTTTCCTGCCCAACCGCACCAGGTGATTCCAACCTACAATGGTCAAGCTATCTGGTGTGATTCTGGGAGCTGGAAGTCCAAAAAAGTTTTCCAAGTTCCCTGATGGCGCTACGTGCTGGTAGCCACCATGGCTACAGAAAGTCAGTGTCAGGGGCTGGTGGTAAGTAACATTTGAAAGAGCTGCTTCAAGGAAAACGTGGGATCTTGTGCTAAGCAAGAGATGTTTCAACATCACAGCAGTGGCCCAAGCAATGGTATGAGTGTGTGTGAGATCATGAGCAGGCTAGGGATACATGAAACCATGTTATCTAGTAGGATTCCTAGGCTATGTTGCATGGAGAGCATGGATTTCGCCATGTTCCTCATCTAATCTTGTTCCAGTTTTGCACACCACTGCCAAATTATCAATATTTTGGGATTTACATAGATATGGAAGTTGAGGTCAGAAGCATCTGAGGTGGATCAGAATTGGCTTTAGCCTTCCATAAGGCTCAATTGCCCTAGCCTTGGCATTTCCATCCCAGCCTCTTCAAATCTAACTACATCAAGAAAACTGGGAGGTTGGGGGGGGGGGGGGGGGGATGTCCGTCATTATTTTTCTTCTTGATGTGCCAGTGGGAGGAGTGCTAGTTAAGTGGGCAGTGAGTGAAAAATGGTGGAAAGGCCTCGTAGCAGGGATCATGCTTGACATAACCAGGGGGAAAGACATGAGAGACAAAGAGTTGAGCATCGGAGTCATATCTGCACGGAGTCCAAAACAGAGTGCTAGTGTGCTTGTCAGTCCAGTTGTCTGGCCTTCGACATTATCCCAATAAGAAGCAAGAGGGCTTCAAAATACAAACATCTACTGCACACAAAGCAGGTGCAGCAAAGCCACGTGGGCACACAAGGAGACTGCCTCATGTGCCGGTATTGCTGGCATGCGAACACCCCACTCCAAGGCAGTATGGTTCAGACAAGAGACAATATGGCTGCCTTCTCACAGCCTTTTCTTTTCCTCCCACCTCCCAATAACCCATTCCCAAGTTCCCAAGATAGCCGTGTGCCGGCAGGGTCAGCACAGCCCTTCCCTCCCTCAAACACCACACAACAGACCTCACACATTGAAAGGAGGACCCAGGAGAGGAGATGTGAGCAGGGCAGTTGGATCCCCTCCCCATGCAATACAAGTGATCTACATGAAGACTTCCCATGGCCATTACTGCAGCTGGCTGCCCTTGGCACTGTCCTCTCCTCCTCGGAGTGGCCTCGCTGCCGAGTGTGGCTCTGAGGCAGCACTGTCAGAGCTTTTACGGGCGCTCCTGGGGCTCACAGAGCCTTTCCTGGAAGCCTGGGGGCTGGCCAGGCTCTTCTTTGGGAACTGTGGGCTAGACTGGCCCTTCTTTGGGAGCTGCGGGCTGGACTGGGCTGAGGAGGTCTTCCTGGCCATGTTGGGGCTCCGCGAGCCCTTCCCTTTCGGGGGCGGCTGAGGCACTTCCAGGCGCTTGAGGGCCAGGAGCTCGCAATAGCGGTTGCACTGATGAGAAGCAACAAAGTGGTCGAGCAGGTTGGGACTACAGCTCTCCTTCAGACCTTGGTACCTGAAAACAGGGAAAGCGTCAGGCATCAG